ATGAAGATGCAAGTGCAGGTGGTGTAGACGAGATCATGTTGAGAAGAAGTAAAACAGGTGAAATTGGCAGCAGTTCTTTGGGGGAAACCTTTCGCAGGGGGCTTCGGGAAAAAACGCAAAAAAATGCAACACAAAATAAGATCCTTGTGGCACACCAGGGGCTCCCACAACCAGGCTCGGAGTAGGAATGGTAGATCCTCGGCAATTTGTTCTGCACCTTGAACTGGCTGCCAAACCTCCTGCAATGGAGTTGGATGCCTGTTGCTGAGCACAATGTTCGATGATGTCCAGGGTCTCTTGATGGAATTCTGTGGTACCTCACAAAAATATTTCCGAGGTTTTCCAACAAGTCGCGCTAAGATCTCCGCAGAGCATTGCGCGAGCCAGCGCAATTCGCACTTCACCACATGTGTGGACAACGGACGCGAACGATCTCCGCAGAGTTGCCCCGGGACAAGCAAAATGCGCGCATTTCACCACACGTTGGTCGTGTGATGTGACGATCTCCGCAGAGAGTTGCGCGCGGGCCAGCCTGGATCGCAGTTTCACCACGGTTTCGTTCATCCGGCTGCCGCTTTCCTTTCAAGAGAGGAATTGTGGTGTTTTGCAAAATTTCATGAAAATTGATCACCTGATGTAGATGATGTTGGAGGTGTCTTGTGGAGTTCGTAGAAGTTGATTTTCTACATGTATCCTGTGTGTCCACACCTGCGTACATGATGTAGATGGTGTAGAATTTTCCAAATGATGTAGGAGGAAGTGTTGATGACATGAGATGATGTAGCTAGGTGGTGATGGTGATGATGACGACAAAAATGACGCAGGCGACCATGACGAAGTGACGTAGGTGGTGATGTTGATACTTTGAACTTTGAGACGTAGCGACAGTCCATGTTGATGATGTAGGTCATGTAGATGATGATGTCGAGATATGTCGAGAAGAAGGCGATGTTTCGGGAGAAATTGGCAGAAAACAATTCTTCTGGAATTGTCAGGAGCAATGGCGCCCTTTCCCAATCACAGCATGGAACCCAAGAATTGAATGATGAAACAATTTACGAATACTGTCCGGGTTCCGCATTCAAAGAAAAGGGCCCGCGGTCGAAATCTGGCAACATACCATGGGTAAAACCTCATGTGTAAAAGGGTAGTTGTAGAGATGACATGTCATGACACGTGCATGTCCGCAGCCCCTTTTGAGCACACGCCGTGCTTCAAGGAAAAGGTGCGACGCTTGAGTGTTGCACTAGGTTTGTAACTAGGACTGAGCCCAATACGCCCGACCACTGCTACCTCTGCTTTTGCGTGGTAGCGGAGCTGTGAGGGTAGACCCTCCGCTCCAGGTCTCTGAGCGGTCAGACCCGCCGACCAAGGTCGCGGGCAGAACCGCATCTCACTAGCGGGTAGCCCCGCGTGGCCAAGGCCGCGTAGGACTTTCTCGCCAACACGGCGGATCCCAACCGCAGCTGGGAACCCACGTGGAATAGATCCTGGGAAAGCCGGGGTTGGACACAGGACTACTACTCTCATTGGTCCGACCGTGACTAGTCCAACCGTGACTGGTCCAACGGCCAAGACCAACAGAGCCGAAATAGGAGAGGCTTCAGGTCAGTGGCCCGAACCCTGGCCAGAGCCAACAGGGGGCCAAGACCGTAGACAGGCAGCAGCTTGGGAACAACAGCAACAAAACCAAGCGCAGCCAGCCCAACCTGAGCCAGCGCAACCAGCGCAACCAGCGCAACCTGAGCCAACTCAATCAGAGCCTGTGCAACAAGAGCCTGTGCCGCCCGAGCCGACGCCGCCAGAGCCAGCACAGCCAGAACCCGTGCAGACAACTGCACAACAAGAGCCAGCGCAGCCGGAGCCAACGACAGAGCCCGTGCAGCCTGAGCCAGCAGCTGAGCCAGACACACAAGTCACTCAGCCAGAAACCAAAGCTGAACCGGAAACTTCTACCAAGGAGGAACCTGAGCCAGTTGCAGCGGAGGTCCCGCGCACCGAACCCAGCGGTGGCTCAAAGGTTAATAGTGGAGTGAGGAGCGAGCGGGAAGAACCGCCTGAAGGCAAACCAGCCTGAGAAGCGGTCGAAGAGACAACAGTCATCCTTGTGCCAAAGGCTGAAAGAGCAAGGAAGGCCTACGTTGAGAAAGGCATCGCTGAGGCCAAGCAGATCCTCAACGAGCCATTTTGGAGGCGACATCAGCAGCGACGAAAGCTTCGAGATCTTGGAGTTTCCTCACGATCCCATAAAGCAATATTGGGAGGAGCAGAAACCTAAAGAGGAGAACAAAAGCAAACCTACGCCTGCCAGCAGCTCAGCAGGGTTAGCCGCGCCGCCGCTGTACGCAGCGGGCATCCCGCGTGTTCAACCCCCCACCAGCGTAGGTGAACAGCTGGAGGTAGCGTTGGATCTTTGTGACAAAATTCAAGGGGCTTTGAGCCAACAACCTGAACCACCCCTTGCAGGGGCAGGCGCCAGTTCAGACCAAGCGATCCAGCAAGATGGATCAGCAAGCGGCAAGCCAGCTGCAACTGCAGATGGAGGCTCTAGCGAGTCAGGTGCAAGCGTTAACTACCGCCCAACAGAGTCAAATGCAAGTAAACGCGCAGCTGCAGCAAGAGAAAGAGGCTCTCGAGCAACACTCCAACGGCGTAACAACATTATTGCAGGCATCTCTCACAGGCGCCGGTCAAGGTCAGCATCCCCAGCAAAGCGCGGGGAGCTCCGCCGCCGGCAGGCCCGTTAGTCACATCGATGTGCTGAAATCTGTCAAGCAGCCCCACTCCTTAAAGGATCGAGATCAATGGGAACGCTTCAGCTTTCAGGTGGAAACATACCTGGCATTGCCGAGTGAAGAGTTTCCTGACGAGCTTGACACAGCACGAAAAAGCACAACGTTTGTTGACCCTGCGGATATGACACATGACTGCAAGTCTCGAGGGAGACAGCTGTTTGCAATGCTGAATTCATGGACGCAAGAGCTGACTGTTGCGACAAAGATCGCCAGACGTATAAGAGAGCAGAATGGTTGGGAATTCTTGCGGTTGCTTTGGCGCGAGCTCGCCCCGGACAACCACTCTAAGAGTTTGGTCTGGAGACGCCCCTCACTCAGCCAAAAATTTCCCACCAAAGAGGCAAACTTCTCAGCTGCATTGCAAGAGTGGGAAGCTGATCTCGACAAGTATGAGGCCGAATATGGCCAAGTCAAAACCATCAGCGACGAAGACAAGCGCGCTGTAATGCTGACAGAAGCCCCAACAGCCCTGAAACAACACCTTTCCATGCACATAGGAACTTTAACAACTTACCAGTCTGTGCGTGAGGTGGTGGTTTCATATCTGCAATCAAAGCAGGTGTGGAAACCATCAGCTGCGTATGCGGGTGCCGCCGCACGCAAAGACCCTGATGCCATGGAGATCGGTCAAATCGGTCATGGCAAAGGTAAGGGTAAAGGAAAAGATGGCACAGGAAAGGAGGGCAAGAAGGGCAAAGGAAAAAAAACAAAAGGGAAAAGCAAAGACAGCCACAACAGCGGAAAAAGTGGCAAAAGCAGCGACAGCAAAAACAGATGCGCCATCTGCTGGAAAAGAGGCAATACGACGGAGAAGTGTTGGTTCAAGTCGAAAGGTCAAGAAAAGGGCAGAGGGAAGAAGTCCGTTTCAGCAGTCGCTGAGGGTGACACATCCTCGGTTGTTTCTGCTGGGCCCTCGGCATCTCAAGTGGGAGGAAGCAGTAGCGTCATCACTCTCCCATCCTCGACGCAATACAAACAACAGAAAAGTGTTGGTAAGATCGGGGAACACCGGCTTCTCATGTCAAGGCCGTCCAAGAGTGGCAGAGCAGCATCCAGAGCGCTGAGTCCACTTTAGCAGAACAGAGCAAAGTTTCACAACTTGAGGCCATTTTGGCCAATTCCCAAAGGAGAGAATCCGCAACCAAGTGATTCCATTTTGGCACTGAAAGACAAACCAGGCTGGCATGACCTCAGTCTTGACACTAAGGTGTACGTGACGAAGGGTCGTTCTGGTCGCAAAAGGAAATACGTGACTCCAGGACCTCAGTATCTTGAGTACACTTTGAGAACAGCTTGGCAATGGAGTGAAAAGTTGCAACAATGGCAATGCCAAAAGCTCAGAAAAAGAAGTGGAAACTGTTGAACGAGCCCCACTCAGTCCTCGATGGCAACAAGGTCTCAGCCATCCAAGTCGTCAACACGGGAGAGAATCCACGACTGGCCAAGATTGCCAGCCGGGGTACTCTTGTAGTAGACATTGGAGCATGTTCCTCAGTGTGCAGACCTGGGGCGTTTCAAACAGCCGCCTTGAAGTCAGAAGCGGTAGGAGAACTCTACACTGTGGATGGCACACCGCTCAAGGCGTGGGGGGGGATCCGCCCAAGATTCAGGTTAGGTAACCAGCACAAGGAGGAAGCCGTTGTGACTTTCCAAGTAGTGGAAGGTATCACGGATAACACCGTGTCTGTCAACAGAGCACTTGACATGGGTGCCAGTGTTCACTTTGAACAGGACAACTGCTTAATACAATGTGCAAACGGCAGCAAAGCCACCTTTGCCCGGAACGGCAAACAGTTCCTTTTGCCATTTGAAGAACTGGAACAGCGAAAGGCTTGGCAAGCAAAGATCGCAGCCATCGATCCAGCCGATGAGGAAGCCATGGCAGTGGAGCAATATGCTCTACATGGCGATGAAGAAGGAGATGCAGTCAAAGAGCATGCAAGGCGTGAAGAAGAAGCAGCCGCTGAACAAGACTTAGCGCTGGAGGATCGAAGTCTGTTAGCCGAACTTGAGGAGGAGGCACAGCCCGAGGGACCACCAGAGGCAGTCCCGGTTGCTCAACCCGACTCACCCACTGAGCATGAGCGGGAACTTCACCGCCTGACGCATTTGCCTTTTGCCCCGTGGTGCGAATTCTGCACGGGCAGGAAGGCCCGCCAGGATTGCCATAGACGTGACCAATCCTCTGAGAAGGAGGGAACTGGAATGGTCCAAATGGACTGCTTCTTTCTTGCCACCGAAAAGGAAGAAGAGGTGGAAGATGAGTCACGTTTGGTGACCATCCTGTGTCTCACGGACACCACTACAGGATTGTCCCTGGCACTGCAACTTCCAAACAAATCCCGTGAAGTGTCGCAATCCAAGTATGTTCTGAGAAACATCGATCTTTATTTCAAGACACTCGGGTATGACAAGATCATTTTGCAACAAGATGGCGAACCTGCAATCCGAGCCCTGGGAAGTAGTATCTGACGTTACATTGGAGCTTCCAAGGTCTCCGTGCGGGAGTCGCCGCCCAAGCAGCACCAAAGCCAAGGCGCTGTAGAGTCCATGAATGGATTTGTTGCATCACAGATCAGAGCTCTATGGATGGATGTCCGGACTCGGTACCCCGAACTGGATGTCAGTTGCAATTTGACCCCGTGGCTAGTGCGCCATGCAGCATGGCTCATAGCTCGTTATCACACAAGATCACGTGATGGTCTCACTCCATACAGAAGGGTCAATGGAACTGACTACAATCACTCACTGGCAACCCTGGGCGAAATCGTGCTGGGAAAGATCCCAATGCCAAAAGGCAAACTGCAGAGAAGGTGGCTGAAAGGTGTGTGGCTAGGAAAGTTGGACAGAGACGACAGCCATGTAATTGACACCTCAGCAGGTGCAATTGCTGTGCGGTCGATCCGCCGCTTGCCGAAGGAGGCCCAGATCGACAATGAACACATGAGTGAAATGAAGGGAATCCCATGGCAGCCAGGAGACGGCGTCCGACACAAAGTCGCCAGGGAAGTATCGCAACCAGCGATCATTCCTGCACCAGCCGCTGCGGGTAATGCCGCGTCTGCAGAAGGAATAAATGAATCCCATCCAACTTTGGCAGAAGATGGAGAGAAGGTTGACGAAGAGGGGGCGGCAGTCGTTGCCGCAGCACAGCTTGAGGAGTTGATCGGCCCAATGGAAGAAGAGGGCGAACACTTCTCAGCGGGTGCTACCGCGGAAGACGATATGGTTGATAGTCTGACTCCTCCGCCTTCTCCGCCGTCTGCAGCAGCAGTCTCGAGCGGGCAACCTCCGCCCTTCCGCGGTGCGGGTTGGTCATCAAGTCTGCAAAGCCTTCCAAACGAGCCCACAAGTCCCAGTGGCTAAATGAGGGAAGCGTGAGCGGGAGCCATCCGCCCAACTCACGCCAGGTGAAGCAGAACCCAAGCAGTCCCGACAAGCAGGGATCATGCGACATCTGACCAACCGAGAAATCTGGGAAAAGATCCAAGATCGGGGAAACGCAGAGGAGGAAAGCAATCCTACTGCAATCCAACGGATTTCCAATGTGACGGACTTTGTGGATCAACTTCTTGACCCACAAGAGCTAGAAAAAACGAGCAAAGAGCAGCTCGCCAAGCTGTGGGCAAGAGGCGCTTTCACGCCAGGCCACAAAACGGAAATTCCGACTGGTTCCCAAGTGTTTTCTCACAAATGGGTCGACAAGTGTTCCAAAGGGAGGCACAAGTCGAGATTCACATGTGCCGATGTGAAAGCCCGATATAGTGCGGAAGAGGAGGACGGCCTGGATGTGTTTGTGCCGACTCCGACACCTGAGTCGCACAATCTCTTAGAGGTATATGCGCTGCAGAATTGTTTCTATACAAGGAGCCTTGACATCGTTGCCGCCTTTTTGATCTGAAAAGATCGAGGTGCAACGGAGGGCAAGCCCGTTTATGTTCGTGCACCTATCGAGTGGCACGACCTCTTCCTGGAGTGGCTCGAGACGCTCAATCCTCAGGAACGAGCCTGGTACAAAGAGCGCTTCAAGGAAATTTATTTCCGCCTGGATGAAATCTTGGATGGAAATCTTTATGGAAGAAGGACAGCAGGATCGGTGTACCGCAATGAGCTCGAAGAGATTCTGTGCTCGCGGGTAGATCCGCAGCAATATGCCTTTGTCAGGGGACAGAAGGACCCATGTGTGTTTCGATGCACAAAGTCAGGCTTTATGCTGCTGCACCACATCGACGGCATCCGAGCTGCTGGACCAGAGAAAGCCTTAGCACAGCTTTTTGAAAAAGAGTTGCCCCGACTCTGCGAAGTTCAAGCGGGCGAACTCGAGCGGGAAGGCACCGCCGTGGAATATCTCGGTCGGACCAAGATCCAACAAAGGATGCGATCATCACAGTGCCAGATGAACGTCATTACAAGGCCGTGATTTCCGCAGCGGGCATCTCCGCCAAGGACCGTAGTGAGGTCCCTTCCAGACAATTTAACCTCCTAGAGACTGAGCCACTTGATGAAGCGCAATGCAAAAAGTACAGGAGCACGGAGGGCTCAGCCATCTACTTGTCACTTGACAGGAAATTTGCTGTCAAGGAGGCTGCGCGAAGAATGTCAAACCCCAGGAAGTGTGACATGCAGTCTGTGAAAACCTTGGCTATACTTGCAGGCACACTCCACCGTTTCACGGGTGATTACCTGTGACCAGAAGGTAGGTGAGCCCTGGTCGATTGAGCTTTATAGCGACAGTGGCTGGGCAGGATGCCTGGAGACACGCAGGTCAACAGACAGCCACCTAGCCATTGTGGCAGGGGCAGTTGTGACTTGCACAACTCAAACCCAACCAGGTTTACCTGCAACGTCATCGCCTGATGCCGAGCTTCGAGGAGTATCTCGAGCGGCAAGAGAAGGGATCTTCTTGAAGGATCTCATCACTGGACTTTGGGCAGGCGTGCGGGAAGCCCCGCCTATGGACTGACAGTTCATCGGCAATCCAAGCTTCAAAACGCATTGGGCCTGGAGCCAAGCTGCGTCATTTGGAGGTGTGTGAGTTTTACGTACAAGGAGCCTTGCAGGCCAAACTGTTGTCTTTAGGGAAAGTCAAAGGAACAGTGAGCTGTGCGAATTTTCTCACAAAGCATCCCAAGTCCGGAACGGAGGTGCGAGAAGCGCTCCCGGGACTTGGAATGTACGAACCTCCGAAAGAAGAAGACATCCTTTCAACCTCAAAACAAATTAATCAATGTGAAAGTATCCCAAATCAACAAACAGCCAACATGGAAGACACCAATCCCAGCTTCTGTCGCCTGGACACACAAGCAGGCAGAAGGAGCGGGAAAGACCGCCACGGTGACGCAAGGGAACGCCAAGGTCAATGCCATGAAGACCTTGGTACTCCTGAGCCAGATCAATGCTGTCGCAGCCCAACAGCAGGAAATCAACACTTGGCAGCTGTTGATCCTCTATGTACTGGCAGCAATTGGAACTATCACCGTGTGGTGGAAAATGTGTCAACTTGGCAGATGGATCGCGGACTGGCTCTTTCCTCTTGAGCCAGAGGAACCTGCTCCGACCCCGGAAGTTCAGCTGCAGATCCAAGGATCGCAAATTCAGCTGACTATGAGGCTCACCGCAATCCGCAATGGAAGGCAACTGGCGATCACCACTGGAAATGCTCGAAATGCCGCGCCAGCGGAAACCCCGCGGCAGGAAGGAGTGGAACTGACTCCTCAAGCTGTCGAAAGGTGGCATGAAGAAAAATGGGTCCAAAGGGGAGCAGAAGCCAATATGACCCTAGAGGAATTCATCAGATGGCGCAGGCAAGAAGAGCGACTGATCCACGGTGAGGATCCCGATTCCGGAGAGCACAGGGATGTCCCGCCGGAGCGGGAAGACCCGCCAGAGCGGTTTGACCCGCCGGAGCGGGCAGACTCGCCGCAGCGAGAGCCCGAGTCCCAACAAGACATTGAGGACGTGACTCGAAGCGATCCCTTCCAGAACATGACGGAAGAGGAGCTCGCTGCGTGGCGAAGAGCCGAAGACCGGTTCTTAGGGATGTAGACCTTTTAGGGTCTCACCAAGCAACATGTCACTCGAAGGAGGGTGGCAACATACCATGGGTAAAACCTCATGTGTAACATTTAGCTGTAGAGATGACATGTCATGTAAGACACGTGCATGTCCGCAGCCCCTTTTGAGCACACGCCGTGCTTCAAGGAAAAGGTGCGACGCTTGAGTGTTGAACTAGGTTTGTAACTAGGACTGAGCCCAATACGCCCGACCACTGCTACCTCTGCTTTTGCAACATCCAATAATAGAAAGGCAGCGGCCATGGCCATAGGCTTGCTGGAAACACACGTCATTGAAACCAGATAGCGCAAAATTTCAGTCTCGATTGCGTAGAGGACACGTGTTCCTTGAATTATTGTCTCGCAAACGTCGGATCGAAGTGTGCCACCTGTCCGTTGTCAGACAGATGTTTGAACAAACCATGGCCATCCCATAAATTAAAAGACCGCGATTCCGATTCCACCAAACAACTAAGAGGTCCAAAACATGTTCAAACATATACTGCGCTAAAAGGTGTTCAATTCAAACAAAACCATTCACGCAGAACCAACTGTGCAACCCAGAGTTGATAAGTGACTTTGGATACTGGCCGGCGGAGATCAATACGGTCCATTTTGTTCGGTCTTCACGGGGCTACCAAAAACTGTGGCAAGTAATTTTGCCGGTGTGTGTTGCACAATGGCACGTGCGCAAGCAGCGAGTGCAAGAGCTTTGGTGGGAGAGATACCTTCTGTGCACCCGTGCGCCACGCAGAATAGTTTCGGCGCTTGGCCCTTGGAGGAAAGGCAAACCAAGATATCACAGACAAAAACAGGAATAGGAAACAAGGCATAGGGGCAAATGCACGAACATCATAACATAATCATGGCATGTGGCAACGACATGAAAACAACGACGGGATGTGACCAAACCAATGGGAACAAGTGGTCAATCTTGTCATCATTTTAGGTTGCGATGTGTGGGCCATGTGGGTGCGGGTGCGTCAAGGGTCGATGGATCTGCGGGTACGTTGAGGGAAGTAAGGTTCTTCGCAGGGGCTTTGAATAGGCCGTTGAAGATTTGAAATTGTGAGTCCCTTTTTCCCCAACAGCGTAAGCTCATGGGATCTTCAGCCCAGAATAGCTCCGGCGTGCACTGGCGCAGGCGCCGGGTCACGTTCAACGAGGTTCCGGAGAAGGTTCTGAAGGTTCCGGCGAATCTGATTGAGGCTTCGGTGCAGAGCCAGGTCAGAACAGGGTTCCGGAGAAGGTTCCGGAGAAGGTCTGGGAGGCTTTGGTGCACAGCCAGGTCAGGTTCAACAGGGTTCCGGAAAAGGTTCCGGAGAAGGTTCGAGGAAACCTTGGCGCAAAGCCAAGCCAGGTTCGGAGAAGGTTCCGGAGAAGGTCTGGGAGGCTTTGGTGTAGAGGTCAGGTTCAACAGGATTTGCGGCCATTTAACTGACGGAAACTGGGTTTTCCAGCGCTTGGCTTCGCAGCACGTTTCAGAAAGATTTGCAAAAATAAAACGTTGCAGCTGCTGGGTATACCACTGCAGGTTATTTTTGCCATCAGCTATCATTGATGATGTCGGGGTCATCATTTTCCATCATTGGAAAAATTAAAAGCGACCATTGAATCGGACGGAAATCGAAAATTGTAGTGATGCATTGTGTAGATGAAAGGGGGTTATTAATATTTTTTTACAATCATCACAGCATTCTGATTGCAAGAAGCGGCAAGTACGAATGCCAAACTTAGTCGTGCCCAAAGAGACCCTGTGCAAAGAAACTGATCTGGCTGGGTGTATGGTTGGGTTTCCCCTTCAGTGCACAAGATGGGATGGAGGATATTTTTTTTGCCAAACCCGCATGCAGCGTCAACAACTTTTGGGTCATTAACAGATTTTTTCACAATCATCTGCGATGGAACAACCAATTTGGCTCAAGTCTCCGCCATGCACGCGCCTTACCTGTTCACTCGTTTTCACATGAAACATGATTTCCTTGACCTCGGTTGTTTGCTTGGCAGCCTTGTGCACCACCTTTGCAACTGCAGAGGGCCCGAGCTCGTGCGATGAGTCCAGCATGCTTCAAAGAGCAACTCGTGAAGATAAGCAGCCTGGCTGCGGCTGGGACGTCGGGCGCCCCCAAGATTACAGCATCAAAGAGATGATTCAAGCGCATGCAGATGTCAATGAAACTGAAATAAATTCATATCATATCACCAACAGACGCTGGCTGCGTGCACGGTTCATGACTAGACCTACGTCTTGTCCACCGGCGGATGGTGCTATTCCACGGCCAACCAGTCACTGATCAGCAAGGATGATATTCGGTCGGCCAAGATTATTTCCCGCCACAACGGCACGTGCTCTTTGACGAGGGCCTCGCGAAGGCCATGTCCCAGTTGCTCTTCAAAGATGGTGACTCCGTGACAGATTTGGGGGCTGGCGTTGGACAAGCAGGACATGCCCTTCGCGCAAAGCTCCCAAAGCTTGACTACCGTGGCTGTGATGGAACTGGGAATGTGGAAGACTATACACAAGGGTTTATGAAGTTTGCAGATTTGACATTCCGCATGCCTCTGGAAGTTTCCGATTGGGTGTTGTCCTTGGGAGTTGGGGAGCATATCCTACATGAGTTTGAAAAGGAGGTCATTCGGAATTTCCACGTTCTGAACCGCAAAGGTGTGCTTTTGAGCTGGGCAAGTCTCAAGCAAGGCGGATTCAACCATGTGAATTGCCACTTGCAAGTGTACCTCCGCAAAATTCTTGCGGCCCTTGGCTACGAATATGACAATGCTACGTCTAAAGCGTTTCGCCAATCGACAGTCGTATTGTGGTTCCAGGAAAATCTGATGGTTTTCCGACGCAAGTCACTGATTGATGCATGAAACTACACTCGGGAAAAAGGGCTCTGTTGGAAGCTGGACCATGCGAATATGGATTTCTGGGTTTGAAGCACGGTTCCAGGCGCTTATTGTGTTTTTGTTTCATGGCGAGATTTCATTCGATAAACATACCGAAGAACATTCGCGGCCGCACATGGTTGGAATACCTTCAACTGCTTAAACCTTAAAACCCAAAAGGCCTGATCCTTGAGGATTTTGGGGGAGCAAACAAAGCAGTCACTGTTCTTCATGCGCCAGTAGTGCCCTGCCGTGCTGGGGCAGAAGTTTCGGAAAGAGTAGCGCCTACGGGAAATCAATGTCCAATAGGAAAGTTTTTGGGAGGGAGCGTTGGCATGAGCTGAGTCAATGACAACGGCTTGGACGACGCAGAACGACCTTAAATGAAATCAATTTTAATCTTTTTTTCGTTTGTGAGGTTGCGAGAAGCCGAACGGACATTGACTGGGCAAGAAGACTTGACTTCTGACATCTTGTGACATTGTTTAATTTTCGAAGGAAGTTTAGAAGTCAAACTTCCGGCAATATGGACAGATGAAAAGCAGAGATGGGAAGAGTCAGAGAAGAGAAGACAAGAAACAAAAATCAAAAAAGAGAAAGTCTCAGAAGAAAGAACGAAAAGAAAGTCTCATCGAGGTGCGCGAAAAGGTAGGAAAGTCGCGAACCACTGTGTTTTTCCAATGATTTGTGGCTCCGGAGGGTCGAAAAGTAGGCTCGCTAAAGCGGCGGGTGCGGAGCCATGTGGTCAGATGAGAGATGAAAAGTTGCAAGCCGTTGTGGCGCGAAGCACATTTCCAAGTCAAAAGTGTAAAAAACTGACGGGTTCAGAGCACTTTTGGAAGTTGAGAGGTCGAAAAAGTGCACGCCCTCGATGCTGGAAAATGTATTGCCCATATACTATATGAGTACAACTAATGATGGTAGATAAACATCGACGAACGGAACCGAGGGGATAATAAGAGCGACGGCGCATTTTTTCAGTGTTGGGGTAGTAGCCCCGACGGCGCTGGAAAATGTGTTGTCTAGATGAGTATGATTCATGGTATATAGAAGAGCGCCTCAAGTCAAGCCTACGAAACTTTTTAGGCTGCAAGGGAAGTAGAAGAACCGACTGCAAGACTCCAACATGCTGGTACTGGGAGGTCATTTTTTTTTATTGTGGTTGAATTGCGCAGCCCGTTATCCCACAAAGATTTTTTTTGTAGTATCTCCACGACTTGGATTGCGACTTTAAACCCGCATGAACATGCCATGTTGCGTCGAAAAGCGCGCTTGAATATGACCAGGTATGGCAATCTTCGCAGGGGAAAACGGCGAACCATGACAGCAATGTTTATAATACAATTTAAGGATGCGAGCGGCAATCCAAGGTGTTGGGACCACGACCCAGCCCCTGCCCCACTCGCCGTGTTTGTTCCGAGGATATCCTACCAGACACCCCATATGAAGAAGCCTCTCCTGCAATCGTTGTCTTTGATTCGACAGGTCACTTCTCCGGCATGACATTGCCACCCAACGCAGAGCAGCTCAAATCCTTCTTGGGCCCAGTCGGTACACGGATGCCCTTCGGAAGTTTGGTCCCTTGGCCGAGCGTCTGGAGTGCTAAGGGACGCTAAGTTAACTTGGTTCGTGCAACAGCACACATTTGGATGATGACTAATTGCATTGTATCACTTATACCGGACATACCGGACACCCCATATGTGGATAGTTATAGACTTGGAAGATAATCATCGACTACTTGAGCCCCATATTTCTAGGACAGGTGGCTCTGACCACCCATATTTTTTATCCGGTTCCGTAAGAGATGATGGATTGCTGTTTGCTTCCAAGATTCCCCCCAACACTCTATCCATCTATATCACCAGCAATCATCTATAACATCTATGACATCCATGACATCTATGACATCTATGCATCAACCGCAGCCGCAACTGCTGCAAAACGCACCCACACCAGCCTCCGCCCTCCCCCGCGCCTCGGAAGCTATGGTTGGCCCGACCCAAGCCCTTGTGTACAACCTCAAGGTGCGCTTCTTCCACAACCCAGTGGAAGTCCGCCATGAACTGGCGAGACGCGGCTACACACCCCAGCGCATTAGCCAGCTCGTCAAAGATTGCGAGCAATGGCCACCTCGCGACCAGAGGCAGCGCGAAAGGCAGACCTTCCAGGACCAGCCGAACATGAAAAAAGGAAATGATACCTCAGATATCGAATTAACTAGCACGAATGAATGATACACCATCGATCATCTTGATTCTATCACAAAATGCTGGAGCAAGTATACAGTAGCTTGATCACCGATGCCCCGATGCATCTCATCGAAAACAACGCGAATTGGACTTTATGAGGTCTAAAAAGATAGCAGTTTCGAATAGAAAAGGACATGATATAACGATCGGCCTGTCAGGATTGCGACATCTCTTAGTGTAGAAAGATCAATGGATGCAACAAAAAATGAAACAATCGAACAAAGAATTCACACACCTACAGTAGATCCACTGCTTATGTAAAAAAATCGACGTATAAGAATATATATATATATACATATACACATACATCTGGATGTCTCTACGACCTCGCTACTCCAGAGCCTTTAAATTGGACCCGCCCGGAACTGACTCACATCGAAGGACGTCGTCACCGGGACGATCCTGGAACTGCAAAGGCTCCGCCGGGAGCACACCAAGCTGCTGAAGGTGGCACGCCGCTTCCGCCAAAGGCGGATCAGCGGGAGGAGGAGATGGGTCCGGAATGTGCAGCGACACATCCGAAACCTTCTCAACCAACCCTTCTCAACCAACTGGGCTGAGGCCGGGGAATGGGACTGAAGTCCAAAAAGGGGGGGAAGGAAGACTCATTTACTATATATCACTTTTCGCGAAGGGCGACTTTCTATCTTCCATGCAACGATGCTTCAAATCAAACCATTAAGACTATAGGCATCGATATGCAACTTCAAGACTTGGCATTCGAAAGTCCTATTTGGCAAGACCCGTTGTACGTATTAAAAGCCCGGTCTTTACATCCCCTGGACACCCCGAAAACACTGACTGTACACCATGATATAAATCGAAGGATGTAGTGACCATTCCACTTCGCTAAAGATTGCGACGTCCCCAATTCCCATCCACGGAGCCCCCATCGCCATACAATCCCAGAGAAGGTGTGCGATATTATTCTACTACACACCGATCTACAGATGATGAAGATAGAGAGAGAGAGAGCGGTAAGAGAATGACAATGTGTCCTTACATGAATGCACGCATATAAACATCTTGTAATGATATCGGACGACGGATTTTTTTCCCAAAAGAAAATCGATCGACCACGTCGCCCTGCCAACGCGCCACGCCGCAGGAAGAGGAGAGCGGCAAGCACAGAAGTCGCCGCACAGGCCCCCCTCCCACCGGACGAGCACAAAGCCGTCCGGAAAGGGGGGCGATAGGCGCAAATGGCAGGCTGAGCAGCAGCTGTGGCGAAGCACATTTCGAAGTCAAAATGTACAAAGCACTTCAGCTTCGGAGCGCTTTTAGAAGTTGCGATGTGGAAAAAGTGCACGCCGTTGTGGCGCGAAGCACACTTCGAAGTCAAAAGTGCAAAAAACTGAGGGGTACGGAGCACTTTTGGACGTTCAGATTTTGTTTTGCGTGGCAGGCGCAACGGATTATGCACCTTGTCAAAAGTGAGCAAAACGTGAGGGTTTTGTAGCAGTTTCAAAAACGATGGCAGGCGTGGGGCATTTGAAGAGGATCTGGAAAGATGCATCTCGCGCGGCAGGCGCAATACAAGAGAGAAGTTCATCAGAGATGTTAGGAGGTCAGGACGCTGATTTCCTGAGAGTGGTTGCATTTTGGAGCATAAGATCTTCAGTTTTGGGAAGATGATTTGGCGTGACAGGCGCAGCACTTTGTATGGGCAGGCGCAGCACTTTAGACAGATGGAGCAGAAAAATCGCAAAACGCATTGGTACGAGGCCGTCAGCTCTGCACTCAACTTTCCATTTTTGAAGGACGTCTCGCAGAATTGCTTCGTTTTTGATGTTGTCAGCTCGAAAATTGAAGGAAGTCTCGCAGAATGGTTTCGATTTTGACGTTGTCAAGTTCAAAAATTGAGGAAGTCTCGCAGAACTGCTGCGTGTTCGATGTCAAGTTCAAAAATTGAGGAAGTCTTGCAGAATAGCTTCGTTTTCAAGCTTGCAGAGAGAGAGAGAGATAGAGAGATAGAGAGAGAGAGAGATAGAGAGATAGAGAGAGAGAGAGAGAGATAGATAGATAGATAGATAGATAGAGAGATAGAGAGATAGAGAGATAGAGAGAGAGATATAGAGAGATAGATAGATAGATAGATAGATAGATAGATAGATAGAGAGATAGAGAGATAGAGAGATAGAGAGATAGAGAGACGCTACGCTACGCTACACCACACTACACTCAACTACACTCAACTACACTACACTACACTACCACTACACTACCACTACACTACCACTACACTACCACTACGCTACCGCTACACTACCAGTACACTACTAGTACACTACCATTACACTACCATTACACTACCATTACACTACCATTACACTACCACTACACTACCACTACACTACACTACAACTACAACTACTGTACAGCACACCACGCTAGACTACACTACACTATCCCACACTAGAGTACGCAACACTACAGTACACTACACCAAGTACACCACACCACAATTACAACTGCAACTACACTACACTAATTACACTACATACAACTACAACTCCATTACGCTACACTATACTATACTACAACTAAAACTACAAGTGCACTACACCACATTACATCCAGCAGTTGTGGTGGGGCGACCACTGCAACCATTGCAACCAGTCCAAAAATCACAGCTCCAACCACCTGTCGGTCCATCAGTGGATTCGCTCTGCCATCCGTGATTCACAACAACCAACCTCTCCTATAGGTTTCCTATTTTGGACACTTCCGCCACCGCCGTGTGCGGTACTACTGGTATTCACTTTGCGCTGCACATCCTCCAGCGATTGAGCAGGTTCCAGTTTGCTCCATGAAAACAGGGCCTATCATTGACGCATTGTGAGTTCCAGACGTTGTTTTGAGCACGTGCGTTGAATATGCATAGAGATGCGCCATTCAAAATTGCTGAGTAACCCCCAGCCCCACAACATCATAGCAATCCTTGCGTGCATGCGACTTGGCGCCGCTTCATCTTGAGCAGCGCTGAATCTCTCATGCCACATATATCATCCTGTCACAACTTTTCCTTGCATCATGCTGTCAGTATTTGGGACATTTTAATTTTTGTGTTGATTGCCTTCTCGTTTTGTGCACCCGTCGTGCCAATTACCTGCAGAATTCAATTTCAGTTTTCAATGTTTAAAGAAGAAGATCTGAAGATGTCTTGTGAGCGTGCCTGGAGACAAAAACAACATGATCTTGCCCAACCACTAAACTTTGTTGGCACTGTCGAAATTCTAATATCTTAAAAAGTAAAAACACGTAATACTCTGAAGGCCAGCCCACCTCTGAGAGTTGGGTGCTTCAATCAAGGTACGATTGGCTAGTCTTCATGTGGTTCTTCTTCATGTCGCTCTTGAACGCCGCACTTTTGATGGTGTCAAGTGTGGGCTTGAGCAGCTGACCCTTCCGGTAGTGTTGCGCATCATGCGGCGGCCTGCCAGGCTCCTACGCATCATGGCGTTGGCATGCGCCGGGCTTGCTTTTGCAAACCAATGTTGCAGACATGGCGGAATAAATTTCATTCAGGCAGTGCAGCCTGTCGAACCCCTCCACGTCACTCATGTGGTGCCCGCATCCTCTGGAAAATTTGGAAGCACACCCCTTTACCAAAGAGTTCCTGAAAACCAGCTGCCACCTTCATTCGTGGCAGGTTGCTTGGTTGCAGCATTTGCAACTACTCGGTCAAGCTGGTCGAACCAAAGAAATAAGAAGCAACGCATGCGAGTTGCCTGTGCAGCAAGTGGAAGTGAGGTTGGTGTCGTACTGCTTTCAGCAGGGGTTGGCAAGAGGATGGGCGCCAGCATCCCCAAGCAATACATCAAATTGATGGGTCTGGAGATTGCTTTGCATTCCTTGGACACTTTCTTGGATTGTGATGTCTCAGAAATTGTCATCGTTTGTGCGGAAGAGTGGCAACACATCTTCAAAGACCATTTGGAGAAACGTGGGTCGACAAAATGCGCACTCAAATTTACGACTGGTGGCAAGGAGAGGCAGGACTCTGTGAGGAATGGTTTGGCCAAAATCACTGCGCCCATTGTTGCCATCCATGATGCTGCACGGCCATTGGTTACCAAGGAGGAGATGGAAAAGGTGGTTGCTGATGCTGCTGAGCACGGTGCAGCTTTACTGGCTGTTCCCACCAAGGCCACCATCAAGCAGGCGGTTGCAGTTGATGACAACTTTGTAGCTGCAACACCCAAGCGAAAGCTGCTCTGGGAGGCACATACTCCCCAAGTCATTCGCAGCGACTTGCTGCGGAAAGGCTTTGAGAAAGCTGAGAAGGAAAACCTTGAAGTCACAGATGATGTATCCTTAATAGAGCTCCTGGGTGAGAAAGTGAAGTTGACAGAAGGAGAGTACACCAACATCAAGGTGACCACCCCTGAGGACATTGCCGTGGCCGAGACGATTCTCAGGGAACGAGGTTATGTTTCACCAGAATGATGTAATTTTTACTTGGTTTAACCGTTAACGTACGGCTGATCAGACAAAAGCTCAGGTTTAAAATCAGCCACTTCGCAATCCAGGGAAATTTGCAGCCAAGAAAAAAGATGCAGCCTGTGCCAACAGTGCCCGCATTCGTAGGCTTTTGGCGGCCATGAGGTGTCCTGTCACTAGAGGCAGCTAGATTTGACGCTTTGCATCATCTGGTGTGCCGCAATCTTGGCTCGTGCTCAATGGAGCTGCACAAGCAGCCTAGAAGTCAAGGTATCTTGGCTTTAACATCGGACACTAGGCACCAAGGGCTTTGATGTTGCAGATTCTGTGCTATGCTGGTGCTTGTTGAATGTGCTTGTGCCTACTGTGCTGTCAGCCAAGGTTTCCAAAAGAGAGACCTCATGTCAGATTCAGTCACAGGCATATTGACTTGTTGTTGTTGTTTGTCGATTTGCAAGTAAACCTTGCATGTGGCAGGCTCCCTTCTCACCTCCAAGGCACGTGGCCGCTTCACAACTTGAACATTGTCGTTGGAACATGGTCATAATGCCAGTTCCGATGCCAGGCCAGCAACCCCAAGGAACGGGGTTGTGGAGCAGGAGTCAGTGCCTAAAACTTGCTGGGACAGAATTTATCAGTAGAGACATGCTCGCCAGCTTCTTGAATATATATATATGAATGCATAATGTGTATTTATATATATATATATACACATACATGCACACAAATGTATATATCTATATCATGAACTATAAGGATATAAATATAAAGATATATACAGATGTATGTATATATATATGTATGCATACTCATATGCATAAATAGACAAGTAAAACATAAATAATCAAAAAATCGTTTTTATGCATATATATGTGTATATATATATATATTTGTGTATACATACATACATACATACAATACATTGCATTACAGTACAGTACAGTACATTATATTACATTACATTACATTACATTACATTGCATGCATTGCATTGCATTGCACTGCATTGCATTGCATTGCATTGCATACCATGCCATGCCATGCCATGCCATGCCATGCCATACCATACCATACCATACCATACATACCATACCATACCATACATACCATACATACCATACATACAATACATACAATACATGCAATACATACAATACATACAATACATACAATACATACAATACATACATACATACATACATCCATACATACATCCATACATACATACATCCATACATCCATCCATCCATGCATGCATGCATGCATACATACATACGTACATAACAGCATACATACAAAACAACATACATACATAACAACATACATACAAATATATAGATACATACATGCATGCATGCATGCATGCATACATACATACATACACACATACATACATACATACATACATTCATACATACATACATAAATACATACATACATACATACATACATCTAATCTACTATACATCTACTATACATAAATCCATACATCTACTATACATCTACTATACATCTACTATACATCTACTATGCATCTACTATACATCTACTATACATTTACTATAGATCTACTATACACCTACTATACATCTGCTATACATCGACTATACATGTACTATACATGTACTATACATCTACTATACATCTACTATACATCTACTATACATCTACTACACATCTACTACACATCTACTACACATCTACTATACATCTACTATACATCTACTATACATCTACTATACATCTACTATACATCTACTATACATCTACTATACATCTACTATACATCTACTATACATCTACTATACATCTACTATGCATCTACTATACATCTACTATACATCTACTATACATCTACTATACATCTACTATACATCTACTATACATCTACTATGCATCTACTATACATCTACTATACATCTACTATACATCTACTATACATCTACTATACATCTACTATGCATCTACTATGCATCTACTATACATCTACTATACATCTACTATACATCTACTATACATCTACTATACATCTACTATACATCTACTATACATCTACTATACATCTGCTATACATCTACTATACATCTACTATACAGACATACATACAGACATACACACATACACACACCCACATACGTACATACGTACATACGTACATACGTACATACGTACATACGTGCATACGTACATACGTACGTAGGTACGCACGTACGTACGTACGTAGCTGCATACATACATACATACATACATCCATACATCCATACATACATCCATACATCCATACATCCATACATCCATACATCCATACATCCATACATCCATACATCCATACATCCATACATCCATACATCCATACATCATACATACATACATACATACATACATACATACATACATACATACATACACACATACACATACATACACACATACATACACACATACACACATACACACTTACACACATACATGCATTACATTCCATTCCATTCCATTCCATTCCATTACATTACATTACATTACATTACATACGTTACATACATTACATGCATTACATACATTGCATACATTAATTACATACATTCATTACATACATTAATTACAGACAGTACATTAATTACATACATTAATTACATTAATTACATACATTAATTACATACATTAATTACATACATCAATTACATACATTAATTACATACATTAGTTTACATACATTAATTAATTACATACATTAATTACATACATTATTTACATACATTAATTACTAATTACATACATTAATTACTAATTACATACATTAATTACTAATTACATACATTAATTACTAATTACATACATTAATTACTAATTACATACATTAATTACTAATTACATACATTAATTACTAATTACATACATTAACATACATTAACATACATTAACATACATTAACATACATTAACATACATTAACATACATTAACATACATTAACATACATTAACATACATTAACATACATTAACATACATTAACATACATTAACATACATACACATACATACACATACATACATACATACATTATACATACATACATACATACATACATACATACATACATACATACATACATACATACATACATACATACATACATACATACATACATATGCATATGCATATGCCAAATGGATCACGCTGCCTGCGCTGGACACTCAGGCGTTGTCTGGAAGGCGCGTGCCGCTGCCGTCATGCTCCATGCCTGGTCCAGTCGCTGGCTTCATGCCCCTGCGCTGCAGGCCACCACCTCCAAATGAGGCGGAACAATTCATCGTTCCAGCCCTATTTGAGACACGCTTCAAATCTGATTTGGCGGAGGCAAATGTAAGATGTGCATCCAAATCAAAGGATCCAAAATTTTTAAAGTCTATATAAACTGTGTGAGAGTCACAAGTTGGCTGAGGCTGAGTTCGACGAGATTCTGGAGAAAGATGACATGCCAGACGAACTAGCACTTTGGCAAACATGCAAATACTGTTAGCAGTCCTTTTCTTTTGGCAGGGCCAGATGTTGCTATAATGCCAAAGTGCCCAGCTTGCACTCGTCTGGGTTTGTGTGCCGACGAGGGGGCTGCATTGTTTCCCTATAGTTTTGTCTGCTATATGGGGTGCACAGTCCAATTTGCTGGCGGCTTTTCTCTTGTGCAATGGCCCCTTCTGTGCCGTTTTTTCTTGGCAACGTTTTCGTCGCATGGAGGGCTAAAACGCCTATCATTCGGAATTCGCGCATCAAGCATGCCTTGGCGGTTGCCTGGAGTATGCAGTTGCGAATTTCCTGCCCTTGGAACCCCTTGTTTGGTTTGTTCTATGGTGGACTCTAAAATGGTTTGTTCTATGGTGGACTCTAATAGGGAACAATGGGCTTCGCTTGCAGTGTCTTTGCCTCGGCAGACAGGATGATCCTTCAAACGTTTTGCTGCTGATTTGAGAGTGTTCTGCTTCCAAATTTGTTCCGTTTCTTGCAGCTGCCTTCTTGGCTCCACAACGTATAGACATGTTGTGATGCTTTGAACGCCTTTCATTTTGACATTTTTTGAGCTTTTGCTAGCTTCTGAGGTTCAAAAATGCCGAGCCGGTACCTTACATCACAGACCAATGGTATTGTTGGTGCAGCCCAAACCCACGTAGACGTAGACGTAGACCAAGTCTGGCTGCGAAGGTGGGGGCCCAGATGGCCAGAGCACTTCACTCACGTGCGGCGCCAGCACTGATTGATTTGATAATTTGATAATCTTATACCCACCATTTGGATCCATTTGGATCCATGGTGGTACCTGCCAATATGTGTTGGTTACACCCCATGGGCCACGAGTATAGCGAAATGATGTCTATATGATTCTATGATATCTATTTGCGGCATGTGAGGTCGAGCGAAGACCGAGGGGAATGAGGAGAATGACTCCATTCTGAGGACGAAAATTGACATGGAAATCATGGAACATGGCCGAATGTAGTCCTCAGGGTACGAAAAAATCTTGTGAGACCCAACTTGGCTGACCTCTGGGGGACTGGACAGTGGGATGGGGTGGCTTCTTGGTGAGGTATTGTATCAGTATGCCTCAGTATGCAGTACGTATCATTACGTATCACTTACATCCTTGGTGCATGTGATTTGACCTTTGTGGCGCCTCCTCGTTAGTGCATCTCTCAGCAGATGCGTAGGAGATGGTATGATTCTGTAGTTCCAGCTTCTCTTGACGGACGCCGCGAAAAGATGAGAGATGAACAGGTGAAGAAGGCAGGTGCTGAATTGATGCGGTGCAAGGTGCTTCCATGCTGTAGATTTCTGAAGTAATTGCTGTGGCCAGGAGCTGGAACGTTTGGAGTCCAAATGCAGCGAGAAGGTGTGAGCCTCAGGAAGCCCAAAACATGTTTGATCTTAGACAGTTTTGTGTGTTTTGTCTTTTCTAAGTTTCAGAGGCAAATATCTGAAACCGAGGCATGGCAAGCCGAGCGCAAAAAACGCCGCGTTGTGCGCCCCTCGGGTACCAGTGCTCGTGGCCGCATCTTGGCAGCTCCGAAAAACTCTACAATGCCATGCCACTAAGGACGAAGCCACACAGAGAACTGGAACTTTGGTGTTCTGGTTGCTTGTGCTTGCGTTCCTCTCTCAGGGTTCTATATATGTTCTAGTAGCCAACGTTAGAGAACCGTACGTCAGCATCATGCACTCAAGAAATGGACGGAAAGCGACTTTGGAGAGTCATTTTCCACAGATGAGATGAGGTTGGTAATGCTCCCACTCATCATGCGCACATGGCCTAGTTGCGCACGTTGTGCCAGCATGTTCCGCTAGAGATCTGTGACTGAATGAGGCAACATTTCATGTGGCTTGATTTTGTGACTTTCCTTACCTTTTGTTATTCTGCTGGAGGAGCCAAGATTAAGAGCCACCTGTCTCAGCCGGAATGCTCAGCTCTCCAGTAGTTGGTGAAATCTCATTCATGCTTGGGTCCTTTTACTCATATACGTGTCTGCAAGGTGCGCGCCAGATGAGGAAATCGCAGACTGTCGATGGGAATCTTGGCATATTGACAGAGATGTGCTGATACTGTAGTCTACGCGAGAATCTTCAAACGATTTTCATCAATTTTCGGTAATTTTGGCTAGATCTTTCTTCCTAGTGCCGAGGAAGTTCTTCCCTATCCAAGGCACGCATGGTTCATGAATTCATGCACAGTAGAGGATCAGACGGATCCCATACACAGTTAAGACATGTTAAGACCAATGCTGGACCGCACACACACACACACATGCACATGCACACACATCAGACAGATCTTCCTATGGTGTGATTTGCTACCACCATGGACGGCAGGCTTGCTTTGTGGTGTGCGCTGTCGATAGACACCACCTCAGATATCTCAGCCATCGTTAGTTGTGTTCTGGTTGTGCTTTGTGTTTTTTGTTTCTCCGTGCGTGGTCAATCATCGTCAAGGTCGCCTTGTTCAAAATCTGTTGTTTGGACATGTCTCGCGGCCCTTGGGGTGTCGGAACCTCGGCATTTTAGCATCTTCACATACCCTTTAGGTCATTACCCCAGACCTGGGCGACTGAGGCCATTCCGCCGATCTTTCTTCCAAACTTTGGTCGCACCGTCTCCCAGGAATTCGTGCAGAAGGACGGCAACCCATCATCATGTAATGTAAATGTAAATTCTATGTCATTTGAATGAATATACAGGTTTGCCATGGTTTGCCATGGTTTGCCTGTTGTTTGTGGGGGCAATTTTCTGGTGTTGGGCCTCGTTGCACGGGGCACAGCACTGCATGCTCCAGTCGTCGCATTGGTGAGGTTGGGAAACTGGAACAAAGCCTGAGGTGTGTGAGGTGCTGTCTTTTCCCGCAGGCCCGTGCTCAAGGAGCGCAGAGCTGTTTTCAAGAGGACCTTTCGGCATTTGAACGAAAAGTCCAATCATGGCAGCTGTTGCTGTGCCTCATGAGCTCCCTACTCGACCCGACATGGAGACAGCCCGTGAAGTGAGTGCCAAGATGACCAAAGCACGAGCCAAAGCAATGGTCCGAGAGTTGCTGAGTGGCTATGCAGCGAAGAGTTTCCAGGCCAAACTCACTGAGATTCTGGAGAAGGAGGCGACCACTGCTGAGGGTGGTGTCGTTGCAGATGAATCGCCTGCTCGTTGGGCATGGGCTGAGAATGTGCACAACGACATCCTTGCGCAGTACGGCTTCGCGACTGGGCATGGAATGGAGTCCTTGACCCTGCCACTGGAGCTGATCCTGAAGAGCTGCCCAGATTGTCTGGGCAATGTGAAGAAGATCGGTGAGTATTTGAAGCTGAAGACTTGGCCCATCAGCGACACCGATAGCATTCCCAAGGCTGAAAAGGATTGGCCCATAAGTGACCAGAGCCCCAGTGTCTCGACCCTCGGCCGAACGCCGTCCCTGTCCAAGCCACGCGCTTTGGCATTGCAGACAGAGCTGCTAGCGATTTTCTCCACGCCCTGCTTTCAGAAGAAGCTGGCAGAGATGTCACGGAAATTGCCCCATGACAGTGCCCTGCCGGAATACAACAGAGCTACTGGGTTGCAAGAATCAGTTGCATGCTGTTTGCATGTAGATTTGAACAATTCAATTAGTGTTATTTGGAATGTCTGGGTGATTATGTATATACATATGCTACAGACACACAGATATATATATATATATAAATAAATATCATTTGTTTTGCCGCCCAGCCGATTGGCAGACCATACGTTCACTGGCTCAAAGGATGCGCTGTGCAAGCTGTTCGACGATGCGCAGATGGAAACAATTGCAAGGCCGGGCCATCGATGCAATGACACTCCCATGATCTCCTATGTATGACCGCTTTTGTATTTGTTTGATTGGACATTGATGGACATTGGAACAAACAACCTTCTGCAGGTATGGTTTTGAGACGTCAGAAAAGGGTGTGGAGGACACGAGATGTTTGTATGTGCCTGTATTGTGGGACATTTCGATAGAGCAGCTCTGCAGCAAGGGATGGATACTGATTGGTATATGGATATTGACTTCCTGTCAATCACAGTGCTCTTGCGAACCACTATCCAAAGCTCTGGCAAAGCATGTCGGCAGGCTTCATATGTTTGAACTTGGCCAGGATATGTTTGTCGCCCTGGAGAAGCTGCACGAGGTTGCACAATGACATTTTGTTATGTGTTAAAGAGCGGAATGCAGATAGACTGCGCGCACGCGATTCAATTGTACTTGCATATGCTGCTTCCCCCCCATCCATGTGGACAAAATTGTGCAAGCCTACTCGTGTGTATGCATTCATCTCACGTGCAAGCATTGCCACATGTTGGTTGGAGCATTTGGAGCGAGCCAACAGTAGCTGAGAATGGCGCCAGGATCCAGATGTCTTTGTGAATGCCTTTGCTATTGAAGAAGCTCTGCAGATGCACGAGAGCAATGGCTACTGGACACTGTCCAGCAAGAAGGCCTGGGGCATCCTGGGGCGCGCCCTGGGGCCCGCCCTGGGGCTGATTTAGCCATCAGTTCGCCAGTTCGAGTGACTGGCAGCATCAGATGCCCACCAGGCAACCAATGGCGGTGTGCTTGGCATCAAACCGAGAACGAAGTTCACAGTGGCTCGGCTGCAGGTACGCTTTCATGCTTTCATGAGGTCGACTATGGCGGAGATTTGCGGAGAAAGCTGGTGCATTCTGTATGTTGTTGCTTCTTTATTGGTGGTCCTTCTGCTGTCCAGCATATCTCTGAGGTTGCAAAACTGCTGCGCAAGCAGTTGGCTGGATTCAGTAGCTTGACTGCACATTCTACACTTATATAACTTAAATCCGGTAGAGGGGCCCTGGGGGGATGGCATGGCAGAGATTCACAGGCTTGTCTGATTTCATGAAGGTCAAGTGGTCACGAGACGCTCAGAATATCCTCTCAAAATCTCTCAAAGCTATATGATGACAATGCTATTCTTGTCCATGTGGATACGGCCAGGCACCCCAGGCTTTCAGCATGCGATTGTGAAGTTGAAGAGGAAGGCTGACTTGGAGCAGGCATGCCATGGATACTATCACCTCTCAGGCCGCGCAGACCTAGCACTGACAGTGCAACGGCGTATTCTGCCAAACTTTGGATTCCCAGCCTCTCGTGCTGGGGTCCTGGAGATGGTCCTCCATTGCACCAAGTTCCTGGAAGATGAGGAGATTGCGAAGCTCTGGGATGACATCAACTCCAAGCTGGGCATGACACATGAAGCCTGTCGCAGATTTCGCGAGTCAGCGACCGGCTTCAAAGGATCCGATCGTCCCCGTGAGGCTGTTGATGGTGCGATTGTGGACTGCCTGGAGGGGTTGGAGGGAAGCATGTGTATCAGATAGGTCATAGGATATGTTGGATAGATAGGCAAAGGTTGAAATAGGAGCACGGGCCAGCTCAATGTTTGTGAGGCAAAGAGCTTGCTGTTCTCTTGATTTGTTCAGGGTCCTTCACGGGTAGATGAACTAGAGGTCGTTAAATTTTTGTTGTGTTGCTTGCCTAAAGGGTTCCAGTGTTGCTGCGAGAATCAGAGTTCACACGTCGCTAACGACTTGATAAGTTGGACTCATTTGACACTTGCAACAACACTGCGCCTATCACTGTGTCATCATTTAGCAGCAGCTCTTGCCGCACCGTCTCACATTGAATGTTCCCACTGTGCTGGACGTCGTGCCTTGGCATGACGCACGGACAGATAGTTGAATTCACCGGGTATTTGAACGGGAAGTCTTATTGAATGTCTTATTGCATCTTATTTCGCATCATTCCAGGACATGCCACTTATTTCCTTCACATTTTTTGGAAGTATTTTGCTGTGCGGCCTTCTCACACCGGCTATGCATCTGAGAAAATCCCCCCTTTTGACGTCGTGGGGCGTGGTAATGAAGAGTTGGCATTGTTCAGCGTGCTTGCTGGAAAGCACAGAGATGCTTGGATTGAGGATGTGTGCAATTGTTTGAGTGCCGCCAGGCAGGCCAAAATGAAATTATGTTTTGTGATGATTATGATACGTTGTTGGAAGCTTTTGTACAAAGCGCGCTTGCGTCGCATTTTCGTTTGCACATCCTTTTGTTTCTCCCAGCGATGCACTTGAACATGCCTTCCCAGCACTGGCAACGGGAGTGGGTGCCCTTTACTGATCTTGGGGGAAGAGGTGCTTCCCTGAAAGACACAAGTAGTCGCCACACAATGTAGTCACTATAGTCATGAATGATGCAGAGCAAAAGGGGCCATTCTTTGGAGCAAGAGAGAGTTGGCAATTAGAGACCCCACTCCCAGTAAGTTGCTAGACACTGCCACACTTGCGCGCAGTCTGCATTTTCCACCAGCTTGCAGTTGCGCTGCGGGAGTCACCAACGAAGGCAACAGGTTCAACAAAGTCACTTTGGCATCCCAGCCGTTCAGGTTTTTACCATCCTTGGTTTGCATCAGCCATTGCCATTTCTTGCTTGGAAGTAAACTGCCAACCAGATCGTGCTTGACGTTGGTATGGACAGGCTTGACGAAACAAGTCCTGCAGAGCGCAAAGGCACGAACAGTTTGTAAAGGCCACCCAAGGCACCAAAATGGCTGCGGGATCCCTGGGCCATATCAGCTGTGGAGGATATTTAAGCCCCAGCTGATGGTGCAAGCTTATCAGGAGATTCCAAGGATTGCAGAATGCCATTGGTAGAGCGTGGCACTTCCGATTCGTGACCTCCGTTTGTGTCAAGTTCCAGTCCGAATTGAGTTGAGTAATCACCCCGTTGTTGTTTGGTTCGTTTGTCAAGGCTCTTCTGGCCATCCACCAAACGATGCAAAATATGATGCTGTAAACAGGTGCTACTGGCATTTGTGGAGAGGGAACAACACCTAACAACACAATTTGCAGTTGTGTGATGTTGTATGGTTTCTACTTGGGCTACAGGTCACTGGTGGCACAGAGACTAAGGACAGTGTGCCAAGTTCAAGCAGTGCTGGCCAAGATGCCGATCCGAACCCAATGAAAGAGGTCACCTATCGGACCTATCTCGTGTACAGATCGCACAGTGGCGTTTGTTTCACGTGCGTTGGCAACACTACTTGGGAAGCCACAGAAAAACAAGCTGTGCAGGGATTGCGTGGAGGAATCAGCAGCTTGGCTACTACGACCCACTATGGAAGCAAGACTTGAGACAACATGGTGACACTGATTCTGCTGATGGGGCCTGTGAAGCCGGTGGCAACCCTTGCGAGGTGATGGTACTTTGTCCTTCTTCTCCAGTGTTTCCCTTCTTCCGGTTCGTTTTATCCATTGCCATTTTCTCCTGCTTCTTCTCTTCTGCTTCTGCTTCTTCTTCTTCTTCTTTCCCTACTCTCTGCAGCCGTGGCCGCTCCTGCTGATGGATGGATTATGCTACTGCTGATTTTTGATGATGAGGAAGATGAGGAAGAGGATGAAATGACGACGACGACGACGACCACGACGAGGGTGAAGACAAGCAAAATGATGATAACGAGAAGTGAAACGAGGATAGGACATGTTCAAGAGGATAAAGAATCCACATGACGAGGCGCAGAGATCATGAAATGCTCATTGTGATGACCTTTCTCACGTTTTGCTTTGTCGTGAGCCACAGGAGGAACAGCCACACCCTTACCTGGGGAATGCCACATGTGTGCCTTGCAAAATGTCGTTCATATACTCGCTCAGCTTCCTCTGACAGTGTCTGACAGATTCACATTCAGACACCAAAAGAAGCCTTCCCAAGGCATGCTTTGCCACGAGTGCCTGAACCTTACTTACAAATTCTATATTCTACATCTTCAGTGTCAATCTCTGTGGCCTTTTTTTCTGTACATCCTTTCTGCCAAAGGCTCACTGGCGCGGTTCCGGAATCAGAGCGAACAGGCCAGTGCAGAGTATTGCAGAACCAGGGATTGCAAAGGGTGTAAGCGGCTAGACAAAGGCTACTCATAAGAGATAGCACATTGTGATACATTGTGTGTAAATAGGGAATGGTCATGAACTGCCCCCATCCCAGCAGGGGAGATGTGGCGCGATTTGGCTGGCAGGTATCTATGGATTCTTGGAGCGCTTCCTGGCAGTCTTGAACTTAGGGATATCCATAGAGGGCTTTGGAGGTATAAGGAGTATTGAGGATTTGAATTGTTCAGTCCAAACTATAGGAAAAAGATGGAAAAAGGACACATTCTGAATCGGAGTCTGGCTTATGCTTTGCGTCATGGCTACTCAGATTTGGCATGGATTACTGGGATCCTTTGCAGCTGCAGTGTTTTGCCCTCAGCAACGAGTATTTCATAGATTTTCATAGTATTTGTACGATAGCTGGATCGGAAAAGGTGACTTTCATGCCACACTATCAAATGGTTGCAGCTGAGGTTGCTTTTGACAAGCTTCAGTCGCCACATGAGTGACAACTATGTCATTGGCTGAGATGATTTTCTTAGCTTTGCAATGCTTTGCACGTGTTTGAATGTTCTTGAATGTTCTTGATACATTGATACCCGTTACATCCCGTCGACATCCCGTTACATCCGTGTCTTAGCGAACGTTGCTTCGCCAGACCTTGGCAGTGCTGACTGGAGAACAGCTTCAAAGTCAGACTGTCATCCTGGCGTTGGGCCCTGAGCGATCCAACAAATTCCAAACAACCTGCAACGTTGTTGCAACAACGTTGTCGTGAAGCACTGCCAAGGCAAGCCGGTACCCTTGATGACAAGACTGCGGATTTGAGCAGGCGGGCTGCACGTGTGGTGGGGGGTCTGCCAACAAGTGATGGAGCAGAATTGTTGAAAGATTTCTTATATTTCCTAGCCAAGGTGACGCGAACAAAGTCTCAGAGCATTTGTCACATCATCCAATAGGTTCTTCTGTACTGTATAAAATACGTAGTTGCGTCGCTTTAGTCTCAAAGCTTTGGTTGATTTCTTGCCCTTGGTGCCAGGTGCCTTGCAATGCACGGTCCTTGGGTAGCCTCTGGTCAATCCAGATAATCCAGGATAAGCTGCACGATGACTGAACAGAAAACACCCGAGGCAGAGAGAAGACGTACTATTGTCACCCTGGCCTAATTGAAAAAACAACGAAAAGCACCTTCCGTCAAGACCCCTTGCTCCATGTTGCACCTTTGAAGCAGTACCTACAGCCATGCCAGGGTCGAAGCCGAGTACTTTGGCATGCGCAATCTTTTGTCCTGGCCCCTGGCACGAGGGCATGCGAAGGGTTGGGAAGCTGTTATGCCTGTTATGCTTGTTTGCATCTCTCACACTGGGGTGGCACAAGAATCGCGGGATGCGGGGTCTCTCCGAGGCTCTTCATGCTTGGGGCTGTTCTGTTTGGCATCGGCCTGGGGCTTGGAGCAACCTGTGGCTGTTCACTGCGACTTCTTGAGGGAAGCAGTCTCCCAAGGTGAACTCTTCAAGCTTCGGGGTGTGCAAGACTCTCTGTGCAAAAACTATATCAGCTTTGTGCCGGCCCTAAAGACCCGCGGATACCACATGGATGTTGAGTCATGTTGTATCATATGGTGTCTAAGCTGTTTGTGGTAAGTGGATGTAAGTGGACAAGTAGTCTTGCCACGCACAAAACTGGCGTCTTTTCCCGGCCGTTGCTGTCTGAGGAGTCACTTCTCCGTGAGGAGCTGAGACATATTGAGACATGGAACACACCGCAGCCGATGAGAACTGGTTCCACATGGTTCCACTGTGACCCGGCCCCAAGGCGTCAGCAAACCATGGATTTGGAATCAGAAGGCCGGTGTGCTTCCGGTGAGTGAGTCTGAGTCAGTGTGAGTCAGTGTGCCTGTGCATTCCTATAGTGATACCATAGAGACACTACAGTCATACTGCAGCGAACGGTTTTTTCACGCGAGGTGCGCGAATTGAAAGGACATGCCAATGCTTTGGTGCTGGCCTTATCCTTGCAGCTTCAAGCAGTGGAGCAGCCTCCTGACAAAGTGCTGATGTGCCATGGTCAAGGCCACACAATTGCAAAAGCCTACTCCAGGTCGTCCACTTATTTGCCACACACAGCTTCCTTCAACTAGTACCGGGCACGCCACATGCACGCATGCATGACCACAACTAGCATCACACATAGCCATACAGACATATATATATATATAGAGAGAGAGAGCTGATCTATCTTGCTGGTTTGAATGGCCAACAGCTTTGACAATTCACTCTGAGACGCAACTTCGTGATGGATCTGTTTCCTTTACCTGGTCTAACATGCCTATTTGTACGTATCTATTTGTGAGGGGTGACCCCTTTCTGAGGTGGGGATGGTGAAACACTTCCACTCACGGCAGATGCCTGGCCCTCATTTGTGGCAATCCGGTGGACTTTCCCATTGCCATGTAGCTGCATGTTTTTGCCCGTATTTGCCGCGCGCTTTTCTTCTACTCTAACAAGTTGGAGGGACCGGCATGGCCCGTGTGGACTGAGTTCCCAAGGGGAACACTCCAATGAGCCAGTTCTTTTCTTGTGTGTGTGTGTGCGTGTAAACTATTACTATGACTGGTGTTGGTGTCGGCCATTTGCAAGTAAGGCTTCTGATCGCACGTCCCAGCCGGAGAAGAAACTGGATGCCGCTGCGAAGGAATGCCGCCCCATGTTGTTAAAGCAGCAGGTGTCGGGTGGTGCTTTTTGGCATATGCTTTGATCGGAGGCCTTCAGTAAGAACGTGAGCGGGGGCCCTAGATTCATCCAATGCGCCTTGAAAAGTGCAATTGTTGCACCTTTGAATTTGAATAATAGACCCGGACCGAGAACTTGTACTGCAGGCGACACTGCAGGAACCTTGATGCACACCCCTGCATGGTGCTCCCTTGATGTGCATCCCGAGCGGCCTTGTTGCTGTGATGTCATGTGCCTGCAGGTACAATTTCGGTCAGCTTGACTTCTGGAGGGTGCTTGGCTTGGCTTCATGTCATCCTTTCTCAAGTTTCTATTTTCTATCGTTTTCATTTTTTAAAACGTAGCATTGCTTGCCTCATCTTGCCACTTCCAAAGGTTGTGTGGGCCGCCACCTTCCAGCTTGCAGGGGCCGCCCTATGGGTATGAAACTAAGTCGCTGCCCAGCTGCCCAGCCATGCCACAGCTGACCACCTCAGGTGCCAGCATCGTTACCTGAACTGATGCCATGTCTGGAGCTAAAGAAATCTGGTGGGGAAGGTGATAGAGGTGCCATGCTCGTGACATGCTCCGCCTGTGAGGCCTTCATGAGACGTCTACATGGTCAGTGGCTGATTGGATGGAGCGAAGCTTAGCATAGACCATCATAGACCCAAGGATTTTTTAGCGACTTAGTTTCAATGGATCATTGAATGTCCTTGGAAAATAGCTGATACTGATGTGCAGATCTTGCAGGTCTCTGATGCGGTGGATAAGTCTGAGATCATTTCCTTCGGAAGCATTTGTGCCAAATCCTCAGCTACTCAGAAGGTGCCGTGGTTCCAACAGAAATCCTGAACTCGCATTATCATTATATATCATTATATAACCAATATTTACCCATATTGACCATTATTGACCATTAGTAATTTTATAAAACATTTTAAAACAACCCATTAAAACACACCCAGTATCTGCCAGTCGTGACCCTCGATACCAAGGCGCTGGTATCGGTCCTGTGCCTCATTTTTGCCGTCTTCTTGATCCCATACGAACTGCACGTCCGGAGCGCCCAGATCCGCCGAGATGTGCCGTGTAACGGAGTCCTTTCCACACTGATTCATGTTGTAAGATTTGTAAGCATTCATGATATTCATGTGCGCCAAAAAAAACCACGATCATATCGATAATTGATGATAATTGATCATGGATTCTGATGGATGATCTAATAATAGTCACTATATAGTCACTATTTCATGATGATTAATGATGATTGATGATGATTGACGATTGATGGTCACAATCCAGAGGGCTGAAATTCATGGGGACGAGATTTCTCATATGTTCTCAGCATGTCGATCCCATCCCCATCTGGATCCATCAACTGAGCCGCGCGTTTTCCGAGATGAATTCGATGCTCAACCCTTTCAACTGGCCTGTGAAGATCCGATTCCTGCAGGCGCTGCTGCACTGTGGAAAACGCGTATGGAATCGTATGGACTCACTGTGGCAAACCTGCCATGAACTGCCATGAGCCATCCCCAATTTTCACCTTCGGTTTATGAACTTGATATACTGGTATACCCCCTATTTGGGATGCAATTCTATGGCAGTATCCAAGCTTTCAGTTGAATTGCATGCCGCCTGCAGGGGCTCTACCAGGCCCGCTTGCCTGCCGGTCCTTGGTTTTGATATGATTTGATAACACGAGTGACCTTTGCCCTAAAACCTAATGATGCCATATTATTAAGCCGTATCGGATTCGTTGATTTAAGGGGAAGGGCGTAGTCTTTTGACCATTCCTGGCCTTCTCCACTTCATACCATTGCAGTGTGCGAAGATTCATTCTTTCTCGATCCATTTTTAGCGCAATTTGCCTTTGAGACAGCGCTAGACAAGTGACTTTCAAGATCTTTCAAGTTTCTCTGCACCTGTTGAGAGGCAGCTTCTGAGGATCTGGCTGAGGCTTCCGGCTTCAATTTCCGGGGGAGCCCCCAAGACCATCGCACAGCCATTTGATTCTGCCAGGACGGTTCTTCGCATGGTGGAAAGGTGTGGTTCTGGTGTGGTTGTGGTGTTCTTTGCACACGTTTTGTTCAGTGTGTATTTCCGGCGCCAGACACACCTACCCGAGCATTGGCTGCGTGTGGATGCCGAGCTGTTTCCATGGAGTGGATCTGCAACTTCATGGTGCTTTCACTGTTCGTTAATCAAATCTTGTCATGTCAGATATTTTTTAATCCTGACCATTATGGCTGCATCCTCGTATCTAAACCAACAAGATATCGAGGCCGAAGACACATGTTCTGATGCAGAAGCAGACAACTGCCAATGTTTGCACGTTGGCTCCAGGTTTGATCGTTGACGGATGCTTCCTTGCCGGCGCCCCAAATGGACTAGCGCATTGGGATGATCCCTGACATTCGCCCCATTTGACCCTAGTTTGAACTTACCAAATTCCACCAAGCCCGTAGCTTGAGCCCAAGTTGCAAGATTGTGTCCTCATTTGAGCTTATAAACCCTGTAGGCCGCCAACCTACAGCCCCAAAGTTGCCCCCTTTAGCTCTCATTCGAGTTGGTAACCTTGTATAGTAGGTACAGGTAGCTGACCTGCAATTGCAGGCTTGCCCCATTTGGTCATTTGAGCTTATAAACCCTGTAGGCCGCCAACCTACAGCCCCAAAGTTGCCCCCTATAGCTCTCATTCGAGTTGGTAACCCCGTATAGTAGGTACAGGTAGCTGACCTGCAATTGCATGCTTGCCCCATTTGGCCCTCATTTGAGCTTATAAACCCTGTAGGCCGCCAACCTACAGCCCCAAAGTTGCCCCCTTTAGCTCTCATTCGAGTTGGTAACCCCGTATAGTAGGTACAGGTAGCTGACCTGCAATTGCAGGCTTGCCCCATTTGGCCCTCATTTGAGCTTATAAACCCTGTAGGCCGCCAACCTACAGCCCCAAAGTTGCCCCCTATAGCTCTCATTCGAGTTGGTAACCCCGTATAGTAGGTACAGGTAGCTGACCTGCAATTGCAGGCTTGCCCCATTTGGCCTTCATTTGAGCTTATAAACCCTGTAGGCCGCCAACCTACAGCCCCAAAGTTGCCCCCTATAGCTCTCATTCGAGTTGGTAACCCCGTATAGTAGGTACAGGTAGCTGACCTGCAATTGCAGGCTTGCCCCATTTGGCCTTCATTTGAGCTTATAAACCCTGTAGGCCGCCAACCTACAGCCCCAAAGTTGCCCCCTTTAGCTCTCATTCGAGTTGGTAACCCCGTATAGTAGGTACAGGTAGCTGACCTGCAATTGCAGGCTTGCCCCATTTGGCCTTCATTTGAGCTTATAAGCGGCCGCCAACCTACAGCCCCAAAGTTGCCCCCTTTAGCTCTCATTCGAGTTGGCAACCCCGTATAGTAGGTACAGGTAGCTGACCTGCAATTGCAGGCTTGCCCCATTGCCCATTTGAGCTTATTTACAGCCCCAAAGTTGCCCCCTCATTTGAGCTTACCTGCAAGGCTTGCCCCACTGTAGGCCGCCAACCTACAGCCCCAAAGTTGCCCCCTTTAGCTCTCATTCGAGCTGGTAACCCCGTATACTAGATACAGGTAGCTGACCTGCAATTACAGGCTTGCCCCATTTGGCCTTCATTTGAGCTTATAAACCCTGTAGGCCGCCAACCTACAGCCCCAAAGTTGCCCCCTTTAGCTCTCATTCGAGTTGGTAACCCCGTATAGTAGGTACAGGTAGCTAACCTGCAATTGCAGGCTTGCCCCATTTGGCCCTCATTTGAGCTTATAAACCCTGTAGGCCGCCAACCTACAGCCCCAAAGTTGCCCCCTTTAGCTCTCATTCGAGTTGGTAACCCCGTATAGTAGGTACAGGTAGCTGACCTGCAATTGCAGGCTTGCCCCATTTGGCCCTCATTTGAGCTTATAAACCCTGTAGGCCGCCAACCTACAGCCCCAAAGTTGCCCCCTATAGCTCTCATTCGAGTTGGTAACCCCGTATAGTAGGTACAGGTAGCTGACCTGCAATTGCAGGCTTGCCCCATTTGGCCTTCATTTGAGCTTATAAACCCTGTAGGCCGCCAACCTACAGCCCCAAAGTTGCCCCATTTGGCTCTCATTCGAGTTGGTAACCCCGTATAGTAGCTACAGGTAGCTGACCTGCAATTGCAGGCTTGCCCCATTTGGCCCAAAGTTGCCCCCTTTAGCTCTCATTCGAGTTGGTAACCCCGTAAAGTAGGTACAGGTAGCTGACCTGCAATTGCAGGCTTGCCCCATTTGGCCCGCATTTGAGCTTATGAACCCTGTAGGCCGCCAACCTACAGCCCCAAAGTTGCCCCCTTTAGCTCTCATTCGAGTTGGTAACCCCGTATAGTAGGTACAGGTAGCTGACCTGCAATTGCAGGCTTGCCCCATTTGGCCCTCATTTGAGCTTATGAACACTGTAGGCCACCAACCTACAGCCCCAAAGTTGCCCCCTTTAGCTCTCATTCGAGTTGGTAACCCCGTATAGTAGGTACAGGTAGCTGACCTGCAATTGCAGGCTTGCCCCATTTGGCCCTCATTTGAGCTTATAAACCCTGTAGGCCGCCAACCTACAGCCCCAAAGTTGCCCCCTTTAGCTCTCATTCGAGTTGGTAACCCCGTATAGTAGGTACAGGTAGCTGACCTGCAATTGCAGGCTTGCCCCATTTGGCCCTCATTTGAGCTTATAAACCCTGTAGGCCGCCAACCTACAGCCCCAAAGTTGCCCCCTTTAGCTCTCATTCGAGTTGGTAACCCCGTATAGTAGGTACAGGTAGCTGACCTGCAATTGCATGCTTGCCCCATTTGGCCCTCATTTGAGCTTATAAACCCTGTAGGCCGCCAACCTACAGCCCCAAAGTTGCCCCCTTTAGCTCTCATTCGAGTTGGTAACCCCGTATAGTAGGTACAGGTAGCTGACCTGCAATTGCAGGCTGGCCCCATTTGGCCCTCATTAGCTTACAAACCCTGTAGGCCGCCAACCTACAGCCCCAAAGTTGCCCCCTTTAGCTCTCATTCGAGTTGGTAACCCCGTATAGTAGGTACAGGTAGCTGACCTGCAATTGCAGGCTTGCCCCATTTGGCCCTCATTTGAGCTTATAAACACTGTAGGCCGCCAACCTACAGCCCCAAAGTTGCCCCCTTTAGCTCTCATTCGAGTTGGTAACCCCGTATAGTAGCTACAGGTAGCTGACCTGCAATTGCAGGCTTGCCCCATTTGGCCCTCATTTGAGCTTATAAACCCTGTAGGCCGCCAACCTACAGCCCCAAAGTTGCCCCCTTTAGCTCTCATTCGAGTTGGTAACCCCGTATAGTAGGTACAGGTAGCTGACCTGCAATTGCAGGCTTGCCCCATTTGGCCCTCATTTGAGCTTACAAACCCTGTAGGCCGCCAACCTACAGCCCCAAAGTTGCCCCCTTTAGCTCTCATTCGAGTTGGTAACCCCGTATAGTAGGTACAGGTAGCTGACCTGCAATTGCAGGCTTGCCCCATTTGGCCCTCATTTGAGCTTATAAACCCTGTAGGCCGCCAACCTACAGCCCCAAAGTTGCCCCCTTTAGCTCTCATTCGAGTTGGTAACCCCGTATAGTAGGTACAGGTAGCTGACCTGCAATTGCAGGCTTGCCCCATTTGGCCCTCATTTGAGCTTATAAACCCTGTAGGCCGCCAACCTACAGCCCCAAAGTTGCCCCCTTTAGCTCTCATTCGAGTTGGTAACCCCGTATAGTAGGTACAGGTAGCTGACCTGCAATTGCAGGCTTGCCCCATTTGGCCCTCATTTGAGCTTATAAACCCTGTAGGCCGCCAACCTACAGCCCCAAAGTTGCCCCCTTTAGCTCTCATTCGAGTTGGTAACCCCGTATAGTAGGTACAGGTAGCTGACCTGCAATTGCAGGCTTGCCCCATTTGGCCCTCATTTGAGCTTATAAACCCTGTAGGCCGCCAACCTACAGCCCCAAAGTTGCCCCCTTTAGCTCTCATTCGAGTTGGTAACCCCGTATAGTAGGTACAGGTAGCTGACCTGCAATTGCAGGCTTGCCCCATTTGGCCCTCATTTGAGCTTATGAACCCTGTAGGCCGCCAACCTACAGCCCCAAAGTTGCCCCCTTTAGCTCTCATTCGAGTTGGTAACCCCGTATAGTAGGTACAGGTAGCTGACCTGCAATTGCAGGCTTGCCCCATTTGGCCCTCATTTGAGCTTATGAACCCTGTAGGCCGCCAACCTACAGCCCCAAAGTTGCCCCCCTTAGCTCTCATTCGAGTTGGTAACCCCGTATAGTAGGTACAGGTAGCTGACCTGCAATTGCAGGCTTGCCCCATTTGGCCCTCATTTGAGCTTATAAACCCTGTAGGCCGCCAACCTACAGCCCCAAAGTTGCCCCCTTTAGCTCTCATTCGAGTTGGTAACCCCGTATAGTAGGTACAGGTAGCTGACCTGGAATTGCAGGCTTGCCCCATTTGGCACTCATTTGAGCTTATAAACCCTGTAGGCCGCCAACCTACAGCCCCAAAGTTGCCCCCTTTAGCTCTCATTCGAGTTGGTAACCCCGTATAGTAGCTACAGGTAGCTGACCTGCAATTGCAGGCTTGCCCCATTTGGCCCAAAGTTGCCCCCTTTAGCTCTCATTCGAGTTGGTAACCCCGTAAAGTAGGTACAGGTAGCTGACCTGCAATTGCAGGCTTGCCCCATTTGGCCCGCATTTGAGCTTATGAACCCTGTAGGCCGCCAACCTACAGCCCCAAAGTTGCCCCCTTTAGCTCTCATTCGAGTTGGTAACCCCGTATAGTAGGTACAGGTAGCTGACCTGCAATTGCAGGCTTGCCCCATTTGGCCCTCATTTGAGCTTATGAACACTGTAGGCCACCAACCTACAGCCCCAAAGTTGCCCCCTTTAGCTCTCATTCGAGTTGGTAACCCCGTATAGTAGGTACAGGTAGCTGACCTGCAATTGCAGGCTTGCCCCATTTGGCCTTCATTTGAGCTTATAAACTTTGTAGGCTGCCAATCTACAGTCCCAAAGTTGCCCCATTTGGCTCTCATTCGAGTTTCTAAACCCCGTAGTAGGTAGCTGACCTGCAATTGCATGCTTGCCCCATTTGGCTCTTGTTTGAGCTTGTAAACCTTGTATGCTGCCAATCTACAGTGCCAGAGTTGCTCCATTTGGCTTTCAGTACAGTCAAAAAAGATGGTAGTTGGTTGCTGGCCATGGCATCCTTGTCCCACTCGGCCCTCAAACTGTTCCAAAGTCGATGGAGTTTAAGCATGTCTTATGATGTTGCACTAGTGATAGTGATAGTCTACAATGTTAAAAGTCGTGCGCTTGGTGAATGACACGGCATAGGAGAATGGAGACATTAAATTGCATCCATTATTTCTGGATGTAAAAACCAATAAACAATAACGTAAATACACACTTCATCGCACAATTATACACACGCATTGTTTAAATGGAAGCATGTATAATTTAAATAGGCCATGTCTAAGCCTTCGTTTTTCTCACAGTTGTCTCATGCCTTGCTGAGTTTTATGTAGGCTCTTATGATCTATGTTATGAACTATTTCATGTGTAAGTCATGTTCTTTTTTCTATTTTTTACCTGCTGCTTGTCGTAGTTTTCTCTGCAGGGGCAATGACAGAGTTGGACTATCCCCAGAATGGCTCATTTATTGCACTCCACTGAATCTTGGAAAAAACATGAGCAAATCCACGTCATTGGCCTTCTGAAATTAAACCCCCTTAGGTTGCCAACTTGCAGACTTGCAGTCCCAAAGTAGTGTTTCTTATGATGAATCTTTGCCAGCCACGCAGCTTGCGGAATACCGACTGACTGATTTCCGGAAAGGGTTTTGGCTATTTGATCTATTTGCTTCCACGGCAGCTCAGCTAGCTGAGGTGGTGGTTCTGACAGCTATCTTCTTTGGAGAGCTTGGCGCTCCATCCCTCTACATCGATCCGACCTCTGGATGGTCCAAGGAAGCTTGGAAGTATGACGTCCAGGACATGTGGGATATGTGGGGATCGTGGGGATTGTTTGGTTTACAAGATCTTTGCATTGTTGATGCAAGAAGTATCTTGCAGGCGGCCGGCCAGAACCGGGCATTCTGGCCGCAGGCTTTGCACTACTTTGTGCCTGGCCATGCTTGTCTTTACTCCACGTATGCGTGGCCTGTCTAAGCTCAAAACCTTGCATTTAGATCGCCCCAAGCCAATGGCTGCTGAAGGCACTGGAGCAAATTGTGCGGCACGGCTTTGTGCATCTCAGGTGATGTCGATTGATCCCCCATCCATTTTTGAAGGCGAAGCAGATGAGGTCAGTGCGATTAAAGCCCTTATTCAGAGCCTTGCTATGCAGCCAATTTAAACACTAACGAGTGGCAGCGCTTTCGGTTTGTCTCGACTTCAGTCTGAGTCTGCAACTGGGCTAAGGAGGGACAAGAGCATCAGAGAAACATCTGACAGAATGAGGCCTCCAAGGATCAGTTTGTGCCATTCCGCGCCGTGTGCACCATTTATTTTGGCCATAAGATTTCTATACAGCATTTTGGGATATTTTGGGACCGTTTAGGCAATGGTGCCGAGATCGTTTCACGGCAGACAGATGGCTTGATGAGAACGAAAGGGAATGGTGCCCCTGGCTGTTGCCTATGGGTATTGTTGGAGAATGCGATCAGGGGCAGTACCCGGATGGTGTGCGTGTATGTGTGCTTTTTTTTTTTTGGGTGCTGACGAGGTACGCGTTGGACCGTCTCTGTCGTTCTCGACCGTGGGCAACAAACCGCACCAAGGCAAAAGTGCTGCTTGCTGTGTTTCTATTTGTTGCTGCAGGTTTTGGCATCTCTTGCCTCGACTGTGAGTCATGGTCCATCATACCATCATGGTCCTTTGGCAGGCCTTTCCCTATCCTTTTCGTCAGCGAGCTGCAGTTACTTCAGTGGAAGGGCTTTTCTACTCCGGGTAAGTTGAATATACTTGCATCATCTGTCATATAATTGCTAATTGCTGATTGCTAATTGCTTCACAAGGCCCTCACATGCCCCAACCACCTACCCCATATACTTACTTCTTGTTACTTTCTTTTTATCTTCTACCCTCGAGCATTTTTGATGTCCCAGGTGAAGCATCTCATCGCATGATGCAGATTGAGGGCTCATGGGTCGGCGGCTTGCGGCCATCAGCAAGGGTCGCCAGGCGAGAGACGACTTGTGAGGTCTCTTGACTGATCAAACTTTCCGAGCTGTGCCCACTGAGCCTAAAAAATAGAGAACCTTCTGCAAATGAACAAGCCCCTCAGACTTGCAGCAAGATCAAGTGTTTCTCCATGTTTCTCCAATATCCACAGCGACAAGTGGGAAAGGAATAGATTCTATGTACCTCGCTTCGAACATGTTGAAAGCAAGTCGTTTGAACCGAGGTCATCACGCAGATCCACGTACCTCCAATTTTCCCTCCTGAGCATCGAGTGCTTCTCTTCTCCCCAGAATTTGGAACAGATCAGTCATTCGATGTTGCGACTTGATCGCAGCTAGACAGAGGCTTGATACATGGGGTACAGTAGCTCGTTTTTAATTCTGGCAGCAGCTTGTGGTTGACGTCTTGAGTGTGAGGACTTGTGGACTTACCTGGAGCCAGAAGACCAAGTGGATCTTTCTGTTGTGCTGTCCTTGGCACTGCGGAGACTCGGGTTGTGAAGTGCTGACTTGATGCAGGTTTTGTGATTTTGATGATTTTTGTGCAGGTTTGCTGGCAGGGCTGGTCAGACTTCAACATCATGATTGAGCAAGTTCTGCATAAGGTCGGCTGAACTGTCCTTGCTGAACAATCTCCAGCTTTCAAACACAAGCTAATCAAACGAACCTCTCATGCGTACCGGGGATGGCCGATGAACAGTCCACGCTTGTTCTGTCAGGTGCTAGCCTTCGGGGATGGTGTCAACACTGTTTGGTTTGGTCAAGGCGCGCATCTGGTGTTGCAGTATGGTTCGGATTTGGGGGACCTGGAAGACCTGGAAGACCTGGAAGAGAATCGTTGACAATATGATCACTATGCCACTATGCGGGTCGACATGGGTGCTCAGAACCTCAAGATTGCATAAGATTGCTGGATCTTTGTGACTGAGCTGCCTTTGCGACAGTTCTTGAGAAGGTATGGGTGCAATTGTTGCATATGAGCTGCTAAAGATGATTGCAGGATCCCCAGAGTGTGGATGCTGAAAATATGGGGGTCCGGGGCTGCAATGTGTCTAATTAAATTATAGCATAGGTTGCACTCGAAACGGCATGCCATGCTTGTGGTCATGGGTGGTCACGGACACCGGGTTGGTCTCTTTTTTGCCAGTACACGAGGAAAAGGAACGAATACAGTCTCCAAATCTACCCGTGGCCTTGGTTCGCTCCTCAACTGGGGGCTTGTGCTGCAGCAGTTGGATAGCACCAGAAGTCAATGTTGTTTTCAGATGTCTTGAGGTTGTATCTGATTGCCCTGCTCCGCACCTGTTTGCCGCCACATACCGTCCGTGCCGACCTTGGCTACCAGGGCTACCAGGATGCACATCTGCGTCTCAGCTGTGCTGCAGGTATGCAGCTTCCAATTGGACGGACCGGACTGCTCCATACCCTCCGGCAGAGCAGAAAAGCATTGGTGAGGCGTCAATGAGTAGACTCCCAATGAGATGGAAACCGGAAACCAATGGGGCTGTCTTTTCCTGACAACCTATAAATGTGCGCGCGTTTTATTTTCGCCAGCCATCGCATGCTTCATGCTTGGTTCATGCTATAATGCAACGGCAGGTGGTCACAATGATGCGTTCCTACAGGCAGCAAACTTAGTGAGATGGCCTTTGAATGCCTTTGAATCTTGCCCTCAAACCTGACCAAACCCATGGATTGCTGAGGTCGAACCTCAGACACATCGGTTTGTCTGAAAATGGGTTGTGTCCATAATGGCCATTGAAATTGAGTCATTGATTGAGTCAAAATTTGCGGGTGTTCTGATCTATTCATTCTCAGATAAACCTACATGATTATCATTTGATGATCCTCATGTATCATCATGTATCATCATGTATCCATATGTATCCTCTCTTTTTGTGTTTTGACCATGCGATGAGGTTCGTGCATGAGAAGAGTGAGAAAGTCCTGGTCCCCATCTTGGGATGCTGCCATGGAACTGCTCTGGCTGATGTGCCATCGGTGAAGGCTAGACAAAAACAACGGCATTCGGAAGACGAGCTGAACCATCTGGAAAAATGGTGAAATGTCCAAAACATCCAAAACATCCTCATACTTTTGAATCCGGACAGTGAAGGGCTCTGTTCACAAAAGATGCTTCGTCGTGGATGTTCTTTGTGAACATGTATTTGAGTTGAGACCAGGGTAGAACAGTATCCAATCTCGCTTTGAGCATTTATGAGCACCAGGCATGGGAGGCATATGGACAAAGTTTCAAGTTTGAGGATTTGGGCCAAGTGGAGGCGGGTGGTTCTGGCGGTGATGGAAATAACATGACCCCCTGGATGCGGCTCCAGGAGCATGAGTGGTATCTGGAGGGATTTGGTCCCAGCACCAAGCCTGAGCCAGCCCTGCTAAGTGCCATCTCAGAGCGCCTGGCTTGCAGCCTTGGCTGTGGTGGGTTGCACACATGTTGCACACTCCTTTCTTTTTTCCGACTATCGCTAATGTCATTTGATTATGCATACTACCTATTCCTACCTATTCTTGGTATATACTGTAGCTTAGACCCTCATCATTTGTAGCCCCAAAGCTCAGAACATGCAGAACCGGTGGACTTCTTTGCCAAGTCCGTGGCCTAGGACCTGCAAAGATTTTTGCAGATGGAATGATGAAACTTATCCGGACATTGGGCCTTTAGATGGTCCGATTCCAGAGAAAGTGGATTGCATCATCGTCGGTGCGGGCATTGCAGGCAGACGTTGGAGATCATTGAAGTGCACCTGAGAATGGGATATACTTATGTAATATACATATATATATATTAATATATAATGTATATATATATATATATATTATATACAATATTTACAGTTATATAGGCACATAATTAAATTAGAATATATTAGAGTTACCAGTAGTACCGCGCAAGGCGGTGGCGGAAGTTTCAAAAATAGGAAACCTATAGGAGAGATTGGTTGTTGTGAATCACGGATGGCAGAGCGAATCCACTGATGGACCGAAAGGTGGTTGGAGCTGTGTTTTTTGGAGTGGTTGCAATGGTTGCAGTGGTCACCTGGTCGGTCACCTCACCCACAAAACTGCTGGATGTAGTGTGGTGTAGCGCAGCTGTAGTTGTAGTTGTAGTGGAGTTGTAGTTGTGGTGTAGTGTAATTAGTTTAGTGTAGTTGCAGTTGCATGTGTGGTGGTGTAATGAGTGTAGTGTAACGTAACGTAATGTAGCGTAATGTATTGTAATGTAGGGTAGGGTAGTTTAGTGTAGTGTAATTGAGTGTAGTGTGGTGTGGTGTAGTGTAATGTATTGTAGTGTGTAGTGTGTAGTGTGTTGTGTAGTGTGTTGTGTAGTGTGTTGTGTAGTGTATTGTGTACTGTAGTGTAATGCAATTAGTATAGCGCAGTTGTAGTTGTAGTGTAGCGTAGTGTTCTGTAATGTATTGTAGTTGTAGATGTAGTTGTAGTTGTAATTGTAGTTAGTGTAGTGTAGTGTGTGGTGTAGTGTAGTGAAATTTAGTGTAGTGTACTGTAGTGGAGTGTAGCGTAGTGAGGTGTAGTGTAGTGTAGCGGAGTGGGGTGTAGTGTAGTGGAGCGTAGTGTAATATAGTGTAGTGTAGTTGAATGTAGTCTAGGTGTAGTTGTAGTGTAGTGTAGTGGAGTGTAGTGTAGTGGTGGTTTTAGTTGAAAATGCTACAAAACCCTCACGTTTTGCTCACTTTTGACAAGGTCCACAATCCCTTGCGCCTGCCACACGAAACGACATCTGAACGTCCAAAAGTGGTCCGAATGGTGTTTTGTACATTTTGACTTCGAAATGTGCTTCGCGCCACAACGGTGTGCACTTTTTCGACATCGCAACTTCCAAAAGTGGTCCGCAGCTGGTGTGTTTTGTGCATTTTGACTTGGAAACGTGCTTCGCGCCACAACGGCATGCACTTTTTCGACATCTCAACTTCCAAAAAGGATCCGAACGTGAGGTGTTTTTAGCTTTTTCACTTGCAAATGTGCTTCGCGCCACATCGGCGTGCACTTTTTCGACATCGCAACTTCCAAAAGTGGTCCGAGCATGATGTGCTTTGTGCATTTTGACTTGGAAATGTGTTTCGCGCCACAACGGCGCGCAATTTTTCACTTCTCATCTGGCCAGCTGGCTCCGCACCCGCCGCTTTAGCGAGCCTACTTTTCGACCCTCCGGAGCCTCAAATCATTGGAAAAACGCAATGTTTCGCGACTTGCCTACCTTTTCGCGCACCTGGATCTTCTTTCTTCTGACTCTTTCTCTTTCTTCCTCTCTTCTCTTCTCTTCTCTTCTCTGACTCTTTCCATCTCTGCTTTTCATCTGTCCATATTGTCGGAAGTTTGGCTTCTAAATTTCCTTCGATTATTAGAGTACATTGATGGGATATAGGGGACATAATAGTGGGAATATTAGTAGGATACAATTCCTAGCTCATTTGGCTGGAGGTTTGCACAAACTTGCCATACACATTCTCCCTGCTACAGTGCCTGGAGGCATTTACCAAGCCAAAGTCATGGCGGAGACGGGCAAATCGTTTGTTGTCTTTGACCGATACCATAAGATTGGAGGCGTCTGGGAATTTTATGGCAACGACTGCTCCCGAGTGAACACTTCGGAGATGCTCGGCGCGGATTCCACGCTTTCAGTCGTGTCATTTTGGTTCTCCAACGGTCATTTTCCCGTTCTCATTTCCTAGATTGCTGGTATCAAACATGGCAATGGACACATCCCTATTTACCAGTAGTACCGCACAAGGCAGTGGCGGAAGTTTCAAAAATAGGAAACCTATAGGAGAGTTTGGTTGTTGTGAGTGCAGTGTCATTCAGTGTTAGTGTGGTGTAGTGGAGTGTGGCGGAATGTAGTGTAGTGTAGTGTAATGTAGTGTAGTGTAGTGTAATTTAGTGTAGTGGAGTGTAGTGGAGTGTAGTGAAGTGTAGTTGTGTAGTTGTAGTTGTAGTGTAGTGGAGTGTAGTGAAGTGTAAGGAAGTGAAGTGTAGTGGAAGATAGTGTAGTATAGTGTAATGTAGTGTAGTGGAGTGTAGTGTAGTGTAGTGTAATGTGATATAGTGTAGTGTAGTGTAGTGTAGTGGAGCGTAGTGTAGTGTAATGTAGCGTGGTGTAGTGTAATTTAGTGTAGTGGAGTGTACTGGAGTGGAGTGTAGTGTAATGCAGTGTACTGGAATGTAGTGTAGTGTAATGTCCTGTAGTGTAGTGTACTGGAGTGTAGTGTAGTGTAGTGTAGTGAAGCGACATCTGAACCTCCAAAAGTGGTCCGAACCCCTAGTGTTTTGAACATTTTGACTTCGAAATATGCTTCGCGCCACAACGGCATGCACTTTTTCGACATCTGAACCTCCAAAAGTGGTCCGAACCCCTGGTGTTTTTAACATTTTGACTTGGAAATGTGCTTCGCGCCAAAACGGCGTGCACTTTTTTGACATCTGAACCTCCAAAAGTGGTCCGAACCTGGTGTGCTTTGTACATTTTGACTTGGAAATCCGCTTCGCGCCACAACGGCGTGCACTTTTTCGACATCTCAACTTCCAAAAGTGGTCCGAACGTGGTGTGTTTTGCACATTTTGACTTGGGAATGTGCTTCGCCCCACAACGGCGCGCAATTTTTCATCTCTCATCTGGCTAGCTGGCTCCGCACCCGCCGCTTTAGCGAGCCTACTTTCGACCCTCCGGAGCCACAAATCATTGGAAAAACGCGATGTTTCGCGACTTGCCTACCTTTTCGCGCACCTGGATCTTCTTTCTTCTGACTCTTTCTCTTCTACTCTTCTCTCTTCTAATCTTCCTCTTCTCTCTGCCTCTGCCCTACTCTGCTTTTCATGTGTCCATATTGTCGGAAGTTTGACTTCTAAACTTCCTTCGATTATTGTTTAGTTTATGTATGATTTTTCCCCATTAAAGCCTCCATTTATAGAGGATTTCCCAGCTAGCCATGTTTGATTACCAGAGGCTGCATGAGACCTGAGATGAACCATGAGATGAGTCGTCACGCTGAGGATTGGCTATCGAATTCTTGAAAAGACAGGCAGTTGGGTGCGACCCAACGAAGATCACACTCCTCGGCAGGGCATCATGCGAGACATCTACGATATAGCTAGCAGCTTGCAAGGCTTACAATTTTTGTTTTCTTTTTAGAGACGATTGATGTTTTTTTCGTTTGCTAACTTGCCTTGAACAGCCAATCAACGGAACAGCTGGAGGGGCATGCCACCTCCCACTGGAAGTTTTCGTTCTAAGGCAAGCATGCCTATGGCAAAATCCGTTGCCGGATGGATGTGAAAAAGGCCTCTGGTTTCAAAAGCGCTCAAATTTCAGATGCCGGGTAAAGTGAAACCATGTGTCAGGTTGGCTTTGATACAAAATTGATACATAACTTAGTGTCTTGGCGAGGTCGAGAAGCAAACCGACGGAACCTACTTGGTGCACGTGCGGCTGGCAGTGACGTTTCTGGCAACCGACAGGACGTGTCAGGATGTGCCTCTGAGGTGCAGTCGTTGGTTGACTCCGCGAAGCATGTGCTGAAGACGACGGCAGCCACTGGGCTTGCGAAGCTCTGTGCAGGTTTTCAGTCTTTGCATCTCAACAAACACCACGAAACATCCAGAAACGGTAGAAATTTAACATAATCTAACATAATCTCACATAATCTAACATAATCTCACATAATCTAGCATAATCTAACCAATAATTTTCTGCTGTTTCTGGATCGAAAGCTGCCGCGAAGTTGGTTAAGGTGAGCTTCCAGGTGAACCGGCGCATTGGAAAAGGTCGCAAAGTCGACTGGAAGGACGCGGAACGCCGACGGGTGTCAGAGCATACCCAGAAATGGCCAGTTGAATCCAATGTATCCAATTGACATATATAATATTTGTCCAGAAAGGAGCGCTGTTTTGGGGGGTTTGTGAGCTACAGAATTATATTCACAACATATATTGTTAAATTTGTTAAGCACGGGCTTACCGCATTGAAATAATATTATGCCTATATATATAAAATATTATAATATATATGAATTTGGATATTTTGGGGCCCACTGTTTTCAGACCCATCCATTTGATAGCAGGTATCGGCTGTTGGGACATGCAGGAATCGTCAAGCAACTGCCAACATTTGGCAGCATCTCAATTCCTGACTGAGAGGACTCTGACAAGTTCAAAGGAACTATTTGTTACGGTGGCTTTGGCGGCACCTTCAGCACTTTGACGCAGTTCACAATGGCAGTTCTTTGCAAGTCTTTGCTGGTAAAAGAGTTCTTGCGTCAGGTTATGGAAATGAGCCATGTAAGCTGGACTTTTGGAACAAGCGAGTGCTTGTTGTTGGACCGACTGCGCCCATCATTATTGTGGCATATTGTGGCATATTGTGGCAGTTTCCAAGATTTTCAAAGATTTACTAAACACATGATGCAGCAAGCTTGTACGTATTATGTCTGGGTTCAGGGCTTGTCTTCACCGATCTGTGCAGGAGCCGGTGCCTATGCCTTTGAGAATGTTCGGACATCCGTTGAGCATGGCTGCAGACATGTTGGGCTACCCGAGAGAAGGGCGTTGGAGAAGTCCCAAAAAAGGGGTTTAGATTATTTTAGATTGGTAGATGGGGTCTAGATTCAGATATTATCGATATCATCGATATCATATGTCGATTATGTCGGGCCCTCGGCTTTCCTTGTGGAAGCAGAGAAGCTTCGGCAAGAGAAGTGGTGATGCAGAAATCAAGGTGACCTTGCTTGGCCGGCGTGATGGGACAACATGCCCCAAGTGGGTAGCAGCCTGGCTGCATCGGTGTAGATGTCAGCCAGATACTGTAAGTGGCTGGCGGCTGGTATGGCTGGGATGAGATCCGATGCCGCTGAAGGATATGTTGGCGTTCTTGCGGCCTTTGGATGAAAATCTGCAGACCAACAAGGCTGAGTGTGAAAGCCACCCTTTCTTTTGAAGCCATGTTCCTCTGAGCCATGTCGGCAGGCTGGCAATATGATCAGCTTTGAGGTGTGGCAAAAGTGTTACAAGGACGGGCTCTCATTCGTTGCAAGCATACGAGCGGTGAGCTTGCCGTGGAAAAACATTCTGAATTATTTCTTTTGATTTTGGTCTATACCTTGACTTCTTTCGGTGAGGATGCTGGTGTCAGAACCCCATCGTGCTGGGACGAAGGGCTATTGAGACTTGGTTTTGCATGGCATCTGTGCTGCTGGGGGCCATGTTGGTATCACCAAAAACAATGCACCGAGCCGAAGGGCGACAAAGCCATTCCACTCGTGCCGAGGAAGCCTCACAATCACACAATCTCAGTGACGGAAGCTCAGAGGATCTCAGAAGGACGGGTGCGAGTCCTGCCGCTGTGTTTGACAAGGTCAGATCTTGCTTTCATCGGCGGCTACCATGGTTTGGTTGACCTGCGGGTGGGCGAAATCGACAGAATACGTGGGCCGACTCAGAGTAGACGTGAGCCCTTCAGCATGTGACCCACTCCGAAGTGATTTGTGGTTTACTTTCCATCCCTGTCTTAGACAATTCAGCTGCGAGCAATGATGTGGATTGATGTAGTGGGTTCAAGCTACTAATTCTCCTTGGATCAAGGTGCGGATGGCAAAGGTGCTGTCTTAAAAGATGCGTCTGAGATTGACTGCGGAGCCAGCCTTGGCGTTTCAGTGTGAGATCTGGCGGGTGAGATTTGACCAAAGACAGGGTGTACAGATGATGAGCACTGTTCAAAACCCGAAAGTTGAATTTGCCAGTTCATGGCTTGTCACACACTGATATGTATATATTACGCACTGATATGTATATAGTATGTATATATATAAATAGAGATGGATAGATAGATAGATGGGTACGTAGATAGAAAGAAAGATAGATAGATTTAGATAGATTGAGATAGATTGAGATGGATTTAGATAGATTTAGATAAATTTGGACAGGTTTAGATAGATTGAGATAGAATCAGATAGAAATAGATAGAGTTAGCTATTTTAGCTAGATTTAGATAGATTTAGATAGATTTGAATAGAATTAGATAGAATTAGATAGAATTAGAGAGAATTAGATAGAAATAGATAGAATTAGATAGAGTTAGATAGAATTAGATCGAGTTAGATAGAACTAACTAGATAGATAGATAGATAGCTAGCTAGGTAGGTAGGTAGGTGGATAGGTAGATAGGTGGATAGGTAGATAGGTAAATAGGCAGATAGGTAGATAGATAGATAGGTAGATAAGTATTTTATGTAAAGCAGATATGAATATAGATATCTATATCATCTCGTATCTACATCATAAATCATCATAACACTCCTCAATGTATTGTACAGTAGTATAACCATCTGTAATCATCAATAAACAAGGGCTTTGAACACTGCTCAGATGGTCCCCAGCTGCTCTGACTTACAGCGCACGCTGAGACATCATCATCAAATGCACCGGCTTTCACCTGAATGACGAGTTGCCCGAGGAGCCAAAAGAATGAAGTCCAATGTCCATGACCGAGAAACACCTGTGATGGAATTGCGCAGGTAGTTGGCACATCAAAGATGCACTCCTACGGCCTGATTGACTACAATTTGAACTATCAGGTGCGGCCATCATTCCATTGTCAACCTGTTGTATCATGTTGTATCATTTTTTTTCGATCACTGCTGGCTGGCCGCAGCACCAGTACCACGCAGTACCCATGCGCAATTTGTATCAATTTGCGAAGCCATTTCAGGCGGAGCCTTTGCTCGACCAGGGCCAGTTTGGCAGCTCAAAGGCGACAGATGCGGATGCTGCAGAAACGCCGGCCTTGAAAGTCACTGCCTGAGGTTCAGCCAATTCACTGCTAGAAAACCAGGGTGAGAAAGGGGGTGGTTTATGGCTGAAAGGGAATGCCATATCGATCCCTATGTGCCATGGCAGCTTCTTTTGATTTGGCACGGATGTGATGATGCCTTTGGTTCTATACAAAGTTTTGTTGGTTTGGCGGTGCGGCTTCAGGAGATATCAGAGCTGGTTCAGAAGCCGGAATTTTTGAGGTCGACTGTTTGGACCCGTGGATGGGTGTACGATGGTGGATCAATTCTGTTCTCATCTGACTCAGCAGCAAGTTTCTGGTGCAGGGGGCTTCAAGTCTACCGCGAGAGCCGCCTGGATGAGGCCACTTCAAACCAGTGCATGGCTTCGGATGGCTTTGCATGGCTTCGCAGTGATGTGAATTGACGCCAGACGCCGCTGAAACCACAAGGGAATCCCTTTGGCTCTGGCCAGGGTGGCCCTATTGACTCTCGTGCTGCAAGTGAAATGGTTGAACCAAACAACGCAAGCAGCGCGCTACGCACCATCGTTCCGTTGAGCAGTTGGGCACTTTGCAAGTCTGCGTATCCAAATGGCCGAGGATTGTTTATCTAACTATTTTGCCTGGCTGGTCAGCTTCTGAGGATTGTCATATGTATCACGACTTTGAACTGAGCAGAAAGTCCTTTTGCAATGTCGTTGCAGGTAGATCACCCAACTGAGCAGGCGGCCTTGCTGAAACACAGTGGGGCACCTGCCCAGGAGCTCAAACATGTGAGCGACTGGCGACAGATTTGACTTTTTTTTTGCATTGCGATTGCCTAGCACGGTTTGAGCTTCCACTTTTGCAAACAGATCGTTAAGATTCCTTAAGTATCCTTAAGTGGCTAATGCTTCACAATGCTTCCCTGATTATTGGGGCAACGGAATCGATGCCGACGTTTGACCGCTCAAGGAGATGGTGATGTTGCCAACTCAGAGCAGGAATCGAGGAATTGGTGCTTTCGCCACTTCACAATGTGGTTTATTTCCCATCATTTCCCCACAATGTCGACCCCAGATTTTATATATGTATATTGTGTGTATATATATAGGTGCACATATTACAATGAACCTTGATTTATTAGGGGGGTTACGACCAAACTAGTGATATGTTACTAGTAAAGTTGGTACTCTCTAGCAGCATACTGGCGGTTTTTGAAGTTATTTCCCTTGCGAATGTTTTTTTTGTCGGTAAACGTAAACTTCCCTCATTTCAGACCCCTCCGGAATGCCCGGTGCCAAGTGGCAAGGTTGTGGTCAAGCCAAATTGGCCAAAACAACACCGCCACTCTGGTCAGGTCGGGGTACAACTTTGGTCACGCTTGCTGTGGCAGGTTTTCACCTTGGACGGTCTTGCTTAGTGTGGTAAACCATGGTAAACCTAATCAATATATATATATATATAATTCACCATCCACTCGCCAAAATTGATTTTCTTGGGGGATTAAGACCTATAAGGCAGATAAACTGCAGATAATGGTCAACTATTGAACTAAACACACATTTATGATATGGTGGCTATGGTAAAGCATGAGCTCTAAGAAGTTGTGTTGCACCACTGGGTTTGACTGTGGGACCTTGTCAGGTTGATCAGTGCCCTGGCAGGGGTGGATACAAATTCCGATCGGAAGGCAGTGGGTTAGCACGGACCGCTGCGCGACCCGTCGCGAGCCAATGTGCTTGGAGCGATCACGACGGGGTTGCTCCAAAAATGGGGATAACTACTCCCAATGGCAATTTTCAATGAGAATGTATCTGGGAAAATGATGGAAGATGATCAATTGGATTCTAGGCTACCCCATTCTTGGCCCATGGGCAAGGGCTGCGAACTTTGCTGGCCATCCGAACCAGCGTGCTTTGCAGCCTGGATGCCATTTCTTTTGAGGCAGATAGTGGATTGCAACTTGTACGAAGGTGGTGTGGCCACTGCAGCAAGTGCGAAAAACCATTGAAAACAAGCGCGGATTGGAGATTGTGAGCTGCTTGACTTGTGCGATCACAAGATGCCTGTTTGCAACTTTTGCAGGACCTTACAGTGAATCCGTGGGCTTTGTGGCGAATTCAGGCAACTCATTCAACCTGTGCATGAAAATTAAGTGGGTTTGTCTGAAAAATGGTGTACCCCTAAACTCACTACTTTAGCATCAATTTCCTGTCAAAATCATTCAAAATCACCATTTTATACAGACCCAAATGGGCAACAGGAATTGTTCAATAGTTCTAGGCCACGCCCTGCAGGTTGGTTTGTACGCACTGGAGCTTGCTGTGTGCAGACCTCAGTGATTGATATCATATAATCCCTGTCTTTGATTAATTTGCACATATACATACACACACATACATACCTACCTACCTACCTACCAACCAACCTACTTACCTACCTACCTACGTACGTACGTACGTACGTTCGTACATCCATCCATCCATCCATCCATCCGTACGTACATACATACATACATACATACATACATACACATACGCACATATACATATAGACATATATACAAAACATATACACATATGTACATATATGCATATACATTTAGACATATATATAGCTATACGCATATATGCATGCACATGTATATATATATACATGTCTATTCACAGACACATATACATACGTGCATATATACATATTCACATATATACATATATACATAAACACACAATATATACACATATACATATATACACACACACACATATATATATATACATATACATATATACATATATACATATATACATATATACATATATACATATATACACATATACATATATATATATGCATATATATATATATATACATATATACATATATAATACATATACATATATATATACACATATATACATATATACATGTATACATATTTACATATTTACATATATACATATATACATATTTACATATATACATATATACATATATACATATACATATATACATTTGTACATATATACACATACATTATTTTTTTAAAAATATTCATACATTTTGTTTACATTTTCAGATGCAGATACAGATACAGATACATATTCATACACATACACATACATAGACACATACATACATACAGAGACAGACAGAGACAGACAGAGACAGACAGACAGACACATACATTACATTACGTTACGTTACGTTACGCTACGTTACATTACATTACATTACATTGCATACATTGCATACATCACATTACACTACATTACATTACATTGCATTACAGAAAATACATTACAACGTACACACGTACACACGTACATACGTACTCGCATACCCGCATACCCGCATACACGCATACACGCACACACGCACACACGCACACACATACATACATACGCACAAACACACACACACATACACACATACACATACACCCATAGACACATACACACATACACACACATACACACATACATACATACACACATACACACATACACACACATACATACAGACATACATGCATACATCCATACATACAGACAGACAGCCAGACATACAGACATACAGACATACAGACATACAGACATACAGACATACAGACATACAGACATACACACATACACATATACACACATACACATATACACATACACATACACACACATACACACACACACATACAGACAGACATACATACATACAGACAGACCGACAGACAGACAGACATACATACATACAGGCAGACAGACACACACATACATTACATTACATTACGTTACGTTACATTACATTACATTACATTGGAAACATTGCATACATTACATTACATGACATGACATGACATGACATTACATTACATACATTACATATTGAATACATTGCATACATTACATACATTACATACATTGCATGCATTACATACATTACATACCTTGCATACGTTACATACATTAAATACATTACATATGTTGCATACGTTGCATACCTTGCATACGTTGCATACATTGCATACATTGCATACATTGCATACATTGCATACATTGCATACATTGCATAAATTGCATACATTGCATACGTAACATACATTACATACATAACATACATAAGGTACATAAGGTACATAAGGTACATAATATACATTACATACATTACATACATTACATACATTACATACATTACATTACATTACAATACATTACATTACATTAAATTACATTACATACATTACATTAATTACATTACATTGCATTGCATTGCATTGCATTGCATTGCGTTACATTGCATTACATTACATTACAATACATTACATTACATTACATTCATAGATAGATAGATAGATAGATAGATAGATAGATCGATAGATAGATAGATAGATAGATACATACATACATACATACATACATACACACACACACACTTGCTCAGAACAATTTGTGCGAATTCTGATGTGGAATGCATCTTACGCGCAAAAACACTCCATTAAACCTGACAGGAAAAGTATGAAGACAAGATCAGAGAAGAATCTCGAAGTTTGTATTTCCACGTCCTTGCTAGATGCAAATCGCTCCCTCCCTGACATCAAGTTTGGTTTGAAAATTGTTTGAAAACGACATGCCGGTTCTTGGCTTAGCCGGTTGCCATTGACGAAAAACTGGAAAATTGCAGGTACGTTTTCACAGGAACATTGCAGCGTCTTCGTTGGCCGCTGACTGCAATGTTCCCCAGCGGCCCCCTGCTTAAGTAGAGGTTTTACATCTATTCAGATGTTCCACACACACACACACACCCTCCCGCGCGAGGGTGGGAAAATTAAGGTCCGGACGATGAGATGAAAATGAAATTGAAAGGAAATGAAGATGAGGTGAAGATGACAATGAGATGAAAGTTACTTAACCAGGACGCGAAGAGGGGAACGCAAAAGAAGAGGGAAGGAGCAAACACCAACACAGGCAAACCTGGCCCAAAGCGGGCAAACCCTGAAAGGGCAAGGGAAAAGAAAAGCGGAGGCCGACGGACACAGAACAAGACCAGCGGAGGGGGGGAAGGACGGAAGCGCCTAAACCAACCTACCACAGCGAAACCTACGCCTACCTAAGCACGCGCAGAACCCAACCTACCTGTAGAGAGGAGAACACATGAAATAGGGGACCCATGGGGGACTAGTTAATGAAATGATGCATCCACAATCCATGCAAGAGTCGTGATAAGGCTCAAGGCCCTCGGTATTCAAGTCAACCCCATGGACAGCTTACGTCGTCAACCCTTGAATTACGTGCACAATTGAACCTCACCAGAGTAACCAAAAGAAAGTGACCACACCTGTAAAGCATGTCCTATTACCTGGCCAAAACATGTGACAAATGAAATCAGTCTGTCTCTCGAGCATTGCTGAAAAAGGAGATTGTTGTCGCGGCTTCAGCCTACAAACCCTTTGAAGTCTGACAAAAATGGTGAGGCCAGTCACAGCGGCAGAGTGTTTAACCAAAAGACGACCGACAGAGTGAAACCTGAAAGGTGAACGGCTGTTTCACTTTACTCAAACGAATTACTAGCTTAACATGTGTAAATTCAGACATCGGGTCGTTGCATCCACATTCTGCTTAGAAAAGCATTCCCCGAAGGGTTCATGCCACCTTGACGAATCCAGCATGAATCACACACTTGCTCAGAACAATCTTTGCGAATTCTGATGTGGAATGCATCTTACGTGCAAAAACATTCCATTAAACCTGACAGGAAAAGTATGAAGACAAGATCAGAGAAGAATCTCGAAGTTTGTATTTCCACGTCCTTGCTAGATGCAAATCGTTCCCTCCCTGACATCAAGTTTGGTTTGAAAATTGTTTGAAAACCACGTGCCGGTTCTTGGCTTAGCCGGTTGCCATTGACGAAAAACTGGAAAATTGCAGGTACGTTTTCACAGGAACATTGCAGCGTCTTCGTTGGCCGCTGACTGCAATGTTCCCCAGCGGCCCCCTGCTTAAGTAGAGGTTTTACATCTATTCAGATGTTCCACACACACACACACCCTCCCGCGCGAGGGTGGGAAAATTAAGGTCCGGACGATGAGATGAAAATGAAATTGAAAGGAAATGAAGATGAGGTGAAGATGACAATGAGATGAAAGTTACTTAACCAGGACGCGAAGAGGGGAACGCAAAAGAAGAGGGAAGGAGCAAACACCAACACAGGCAAACCTGGCCCAAAGCGGGCAAACCCTGAAAGGGCAAGGGAAAAGAAAAGCGGAGGCCGACGGACACAGAACAAGACCAGCGGAGGGGGGGGAAGGACGGAAGCGCCTAAACCAAGGAAACCTACGCCTACCTAAGCACGCGCAGAACCCAACCTACCTGTAGAGAGGAGAACACATGAAATTAGGGGACCCATGGGGGACTAGTTAATGAAATGATGCATCCACAATCCATAGAGTCGTGATAAGGCTCAAGGCCCTCGGTATTCAAGTCAACCCCATGGACAGCTTACGTCGTCAACCCTTGAATTACGTGCACAATTGAACCTCACCAGAGTAACCAAAAGAAAGTGACCACACCTGTAAAGCATGTCCTATTACCTGGCCAAAACATGTGACAAATGAAATCAGTCTGTCTCTCGAGCATTGCTGAAAAAGGAGATTGTTGTCGCGGCTTCAGTCTACAAACCCTTTGAAGTCTGACAAAAATGGTGAGGCCAGTCACAGCGGCAGAGTGTTTAACCAAAAGACGACCGACAGAGTGAAACCTGAAAGGTGAACGGCTGTTTCACTTTACTTAAACGAATTACTAGCTTAAAATGTGTAAATTCAGACATCGGGTCGTTGCATCCACATTCTGCTTAGAAAAGCATTCCCCGAAGGGTTCATGCCACCTTGACGAATCCAGCATGAATCGCGCACTTGCTCAGAACAACCTTTGCGAATTCTGATGTGGAATGCATCTTACGTGCAAAAACATTCCATTAAACCTGACAGGAAAAGTATGAAGACAAGATCAGAGAAGAATCTCGAAGTTTGTATTTCCACGTCCTTGCTAGATGCAAATGGTTCCCTCCCTGACATCAAGTTTGGTTTGAAAATTGTTTGAAAACCACATGCCGGTTCTTGGCTTAGCCGGTTGCCATTGACGAAAAACTGGAAAATTGCAGGTACGTTTTCACAGGAACATTGCAGCGTCTTCCTTGGCCACTGACTGCAATGTTCCCCAGCGGCCCCCTGCTTAAGTAGAGGTTTTACATCTATTCAGATGTTCCACACACACATACACACACACATACACACACATACGTACACACATACACGCATATACACACATATACGCACACGTACACACACACACATACACGCATACACACATACATACAGACATACAGACATACACACTTACAGACGTACAGACGTACAGACGTACAGACGTACAGATGTACAGACACACAGACACACAGACACAACAGCCATACAGACATACAGACAGACATACAGACATACAGGCATACACACAGACCTACACACAGACCTACACACATACACATACACATACATCCAGACAGGCAGACAGGCAGACAAGCAGACAGGCATACAGACATACAGACCGACAGACATTATTCAGACATACAGACGTACAGACGTACACAGACCTACAGACGTACAGACGTACAGACGTACAGACGTACAGACGTACAGACGTACATACGTACAGACGTACATACGTAGATACGTACATACGTACATACGTACAAACGTACCGACGTACGTACACACGTACATACGTACATACGTACATACCTACATACGTACATACGTACATACATACAAACATACATATGTACGTACATACATATGTACGTACGTACATACGTATATACGTACATACGTACATATACGTACATATGTACATACGTACATACGTACATATACGTACATATGTACATACGTACATACATACATACGTACATACCTAGAACAACCGAGGCAGCAAAAAATCTTTTTTTTGGTGAACAATGAACTTTTGAAGGGGCCAACCCTCAAACGCAGCTTTTTTGATGAGACGGAAGTTTTTTGATTTTGGATGGTTCCAGCAAATTGTGATGTTTTGAGTGGAATGGGATTCTCTCATTTCCACAGCTGTGGCGGAGACTTTCGCCGCATGAAGAACGCATAACTCATGTGTCCATCTTGAAAGCCTCTACTCAAAAAGTGATAAACTGAAACGGCATAAATTCCCAACCGAACGGCGTAATTTCCAACCAAACGGCGTAAATTATTTTGAATGTTTTCAATGCATATTTGGTCTTTGATATGCTACATATCTGCCCATGTTCCCCAGAGTGTGTGAATATCAAAAAAGTGCGAAAAATGTAAGAATGGCAGCTGACGCGGCAAGAATTCCGCCGAACAGTTGAAACGGAAGTTTTTGGCTGAGACGGCAGAAATTACTGAAGCG